ATACCTCTACTCTTATTCCTCTCACCACAGGAGCAACTATTCGATATCGAAACTAGTACCCTCACTTAGAAAGAAATCCTCCTTTTTCGCACAGTGATTTTAAATTTAAGGTACAATGATCTGTATTTAACACTCACACTCAAAAACAAGTCAAACATAGCTATTACTTGTCTTCATAGGCTTACCCTAATTTTCACTGCTTATGTTCACCACATTAGACTCTAGGATCACCATAGGACTTTCTTGGCTTCTAACATAGGCTCACGGTCAGGTATGGTACATATGGGTACATTTTAGTGTCTTTTTTCCCTCCTTGACACTACGGATAAGTGTCCTACCTCTTTAATTATATCCTATGCCCTACTTTTATTTTCATTTCTTCTTTACTTTGCTTCTCCCTTTGTTCTTTGTAGAAGTGACTCTTACTTCTTTTCTTTTAACTCTTTTTTTTCTTTTCTCTTTGTTTTCTCTTATTTTTCTTTCATTCAATTGATAATTGAGTGAGTTACCTCTCTTGATCGCTTTTTCTTTTCTTTTCCACATTAGTCTTTTCACACCCACTTTTCGAGTCATCACTCATAATAGCCACCCTCAATTTATGTTTTTCCATGAGTCGAGGTCCACATTACCCAAGGTTGGGTCAGGCCCAAGACGATTCAGTTTCTATATTAGCCACCCTGAACTTAGGTTTTGACTTAAGTCGAGGTGCATATGTTCGAGGAGGGACCAGGGCCAACACATTATACCCAGGGAAGGTGAGCTGGTGAAGAAAAAAAAGGTTTGTTATAAGATCAACATATTTGGATCAAAAGGAGATAACATTTTCATTTGGTTCACTTTATATTAGGCTAGATGTTTGCTAATTCAAACAAGGGCCTATGATCATTTGCTAGTCATCTAACACAAATTCATATTTGCAGGACTAACCGGGTAAGTTCAAGATAGGTACCAACAGTTGAACAATGATAATTGCTCACAATCTCTTAGAACCTACTTTACCCTATAAGATTGTTGGATTTCCCAGTTTAGGTGTTTGTTTGAGGGTCATGCATTAGGTGCATCTCTATTGCATGATTAGAGATAACACATTAAGCTTCTCTATACTTATTCATGCAAACATTTTATTCAGACGCTATATCATTCATGCTTAATAATCATGCTTTATATTGCATGGTTTCATACTTTGTACAAGTTACGACATGCCGATTCAACAGTAAAGTGATTAGTCTCTTGGGGAAAACAAACAGAGGCAAGAAAACCCCAAAGAGAGGATCTTGAGTTGGAATACTCATATTTCACCCTAACACTCACTTTCCATTTACCCCACCCCCAACAAAATAGCATGCAATTGTACCAAATGCATAAGAAATATAAAAATAGGGTGGTAGGTGAAGTAAGCCTGAGGCAGATAGCGACAATGATAAACAAGAAGTCGGGTTCAATTTTTTGACAGAAAAATATTACTAGTAGGGTCACCCTCAGTGGTTCCCACAACAATCTATACACCATCATTTGTTCTCCTCTCTCTTGTATCTAGTATGGAACTAGATGCCCCGGCAGCTAACTCTCGAGCTCTTACCTGACGGGTATCCTCATTAATCAAAGAGGTTGTCCTCATAGACTCCAGGTCTTCCTGATCCTTCTTCCTCACATGGGCGTCATATCCCTAAGTGGTGCGGCTATAACGGTGCCTCCTGGCATGAACATGTGGCTCCGGCAGCGGTTCAGTAGGGGCTGTGAATAAAGCAACAAGAATAGCATCCTCTACTAACTCGAAGGGTGCAGTCTCAGGGTAAGTCTCTCTCATCTCTAGAATGTTGTCAACATCTGGTCACACACTCGCCACAACCTCCTGAAGAGTAGTCAAGAGAAGGGTGGGGGCTGGGCATGCAAGAACCTGCAAGGCGCTGGTTAACTTCCTGAATCTTCTTTTCTATCTGCTGGGCCACCCTCTTCTCAATCCAGTCCTCAGCCTCGGTAATGGATTTTTGCATCTAAGTCTAGATATGATGCAGCAGGGTGGCTATCTAGGTCTCTAACTTCTTGACCCTTGCTAACGGGACTAGTGTTGTAGATAGTGGAGTAGACCGGGAGGAACTGGGTACTCTAATAGTTACATGCGCGGACTCAGTCGGCGTGGTGCCAGTGGACTCTGAAATTGAAGGATTAGCCCATTGGTCGAAATCCACTATAGTCGCAAAACTCTAACTAGGCAGCTGCAACTCAACTCTAGGACCTCTCTGCGATGCCGCCACATTGGCCTCATACATGATTAGACCTATATCAACAGCCCCTACCAAAGTGCGGAGGGTATCACAGTGCGAAATGGTCACTCTTGCATCTCCGCATAACTGAAAGATCATATAGGAGAATGGGTAAATAGTAGAAGTATAAAACGCCCCCTCATGTATCACTTAGAGCAATGATTATGCGAACTTGATCTCCAACCCAGCCACAAAGGCTGCCACCAATATTGCTCTATCCCATGTAAGAATATTATTTGCTGCCGTCAGAGATAGGTAGTGACAGACTAAAAACCAAAAGAACTTGGCTTTAAAAGCGAAGTTGGCCTTTTTTTATCATCCCTCTTGGATGTAGCAGCCAATCTGCCCCCTCACTATCGATAGATAGGTGATGATTAAAACACTTCTTAACTATCTCTGTGTGCTCTATAGTCCTCTGAAACTATCCACTTTTGACCATATCCCACGTGTAATCAAACTCCAGGGTGAAGGGGGACCGAGTAATATTTATGGAGGGTCCATACAAGAAACGATAGATGCTATCTAGAGTAATTTCTACCCGTTAGCTCAGAGCTAACATTGTGGTGAATGGGTTCTCTTTGGCGGGTCTCTCCCGCCTATCCAAAGAACCTCTTAGAGTATCCACATATGAGGCTTACAAATCTCAGACCATCTCCTTGCTATACAACTCTAGACTCTTACTTATCCACTCGAGCGTGTGTCGGATGAACAATCTCTACACATCAGGGACTGAGTAAAGGCTCCGTGTAAGAACTCTCCTCCTAGATGTAACCAACCGGGTAATCACCCCTTGTCATTCAGAACCTTTGCATTCCTATATAACTTGTAAAAACCATTTACATACCATCGGTTTGACTACTCAGGAACCAGTGCAGGGACATCCTCCTGGGCTGCCGGAGCAGACTCTGAACTATGGGCCTCATTGGTCAATGCTTGGCGGGCAGGTTCTTCCGAGTGAGTGGATCCATGTTATCAAGAATCGGAGGCAGTGGCCTCATTCGACCCCGAAGAGTGGGCCAACTCTGAACCCATTGCAGCTTCAGAGCGAAAAGCTTCTTAAAAACTCGAGGCACACCCAGACGGTGTGCAGGTCTCTGTGCCCTCTTCATCAAATTAGGAGGCAGTGAATATGCAAGAAGGAACTTTCTACGTGTACCCCAAGTGGCTCTGGCAGCTGGTATAGAGGAGCTGGTAACTTGGGAACATATTCTAGATCCCGCTCATCGTTGGAAGTTCCAATCATCCGATTGGATGGTTCCATGGACCTTCACCTTCCCCAAGAATAAACGATGTCCAATTTAAAGGCCATATTTATCTATAAAGTAGTTGTTAGTCTCGTAGAAATATTACTACACACTCAAAACAAATAAAATAGAAAAAGGAACTAGAAAAACACATTGCAGTTCAAACCTACAGTACTAGTTGATGGGTACTATCAACGAGCCATTGATTAAGCGATGGATAGACAATAGTGTCCGTCGTTGGATACATATAAATTATTTAGATATTTCATTATTCAGACTGCTCAGTTGAAAACAATGGACGTGCAAAATGCTCATTAATTAATCAATGAACCATAGTACACTTCCATCGTTTAACACTTAGAATAATTTTTAAAATCTCTTAAAGCAGCGCGTTAGATGGAAACGACGAACGTTTAGAATTGTCCGTCGATAAGTCCACAGACCATAGTCCACTTCCATCATAGTTAAACAAATTTAAGGCTTCCCAATAGACGGACCCCAATGATGACCCGTCCATGCATTGACGGTCCGTCAACCGGGTCTCGTGCTATTGGCCTAAGATAGATTTTAGGACTTATTTCAACTACCACATTTTTACACCTTTTCGACCTAGACAAGTTTACCCAATACATAATAACAATTACAAGACCGTTTCTTCATCCTTAGGGTTTCAATTTCATAAGGTTCATTCTCTAATTCAAAGATTCTTCCAAACCCTAAGTTAGAGAGTCTATAAAATAATTTAAAAAAATTGCACAACTACCCATGCACATTATATTATTTTAAAGGACATTTTACCCAAGGTTTAAACAAGCACAAGCATACAATTTTGTCCCTAAAGTAAAACACACATTCTATGTTTCGTTTCCAACAATGAATGAACAAGAATTCATCAAGCAAAAGGAATCAAAATACTTGAAGAGTGAAGTAAATGTGTGGGTGATCTTTGTAAGAAACCTACGTGCCCGACTTTGAACACCAACCAGAGAAAGCAATAGGTACCAAGTAGAAATTTTAAAGGAGAGGGTTATGGGAATTTTTGAGAAATAGGGGTTTGAAGGAATCTGATGAATATGGAAGGGGGAAATATGGTGTTGCGATGAGAAAAGAAGGAAGTAAGGTAAGGGAAACAGTTGGGGAAAGAATTTGAAAACATTTTGGAGACTAATGAACGGTTTTTCTTAATATTACCAGCAGGGCAGGTCGGGTCACTAGTGCTTTTTGACAGACAAAATCCCATCCACTATCTATAATTCAGTCGACAGATTGTCGATTGGATAGATCGTTGGCTAGAGAATTCACCTTAAGTTACCTCCCAATAAATGCCTGATTTAACGTCGTGGCACGATGCAAGATCCTTAATTACTCAAACTTCATCAAGTTGATATGCCAAAACCACTTCATGGACACTCTCCGCATCCCCTATGTAGATCTTGATCCTTTGACCATTGACCGTGAACTTTTCCCCCTCATTATTCTCCAACTCAACCTCTCAATGTGGAAACACTTTAGTGATAAGGAATGGTCCCGTCCACTTGGATTTAAGTTTTCCTGGAAACAAGCGTAGCCTAGAGTTAAATAGAAGTACCAAGTCCCCAACCGCAAATTCTCGCTTTTCAATCTTTTTGTCGTTGTACTTCTTTATCTTCTCTTTGTAGATGGCTGAAATTTCATACGCTTTGAGGCAAAACTCATCAAGATAATTTAACCCATTAAGTATTTGTTCCACTGCTTCACTCCATTCTATCTTTAGTTTCAAGATTGCCCACATGGCTTTGTTCTCTAACTCGACTGGCAATTGACAACCCTTGCCATATACAAGTCTGTATGGAGACATAAATATGGGAGACTTGTATGAAGCCCGATAGGCCAAAGAGCATAATAAATCCCCCTTCACCAATCCATTCATTTAGCATTTATCGTTTTTGACAAAATTCGTTTGATCTAAACCATTGGACACCTCAACTTGCCCACAAGTCTTTGGATGATACGGAGTGGCCACATTATGGCGAACCCCATATTTCTCCTATAGACCTTTGAACCACTTATTGCAAAAGATAGATCCACCGTGACTAATAATGGCTCAACGTGTTCCAAATCTGGAGAATATGTTCATTTTCAAGAATGTGGTTCCACTCTTCCCTTCATTGTTAGAAAGTGTTATAGATTCCACCCACTTTTACACGTAGTCATCTGCCACAACTATCTATTTCATCCCATTTGATCTCACAAACAGGCCCATAAAATAAATGCTCCACATATCAAATAGCTCAATTACTAGAATGGGATTTAAAGGTAACTCTTGCCTCTTCGAAATTCCTCCATCTTTTGGCACCTATCACATGGCTTGGCAAAGTCGTGAACATCTTGGTGAATGGTTTGAAATAGTACCCACATTGTAAAATGTTGTGGGCAGTCCTGATACCACTATGGTGCCAACCCATAGACAGGAGTGACATGCCTCCAAAACAGTTAACGTCTCAACTTCGGTCACACAACGACGAATATTCCCATTAGCACAACTACAGTATAAGTAAGACTCATCCCAAAATAACTTTTTAACATCATGCATAAACTTCTTCCTCTGATGGAATGATAAGTTTGATGGGACTATATCACTAGCCAAATAATTCGCAAAATCAGTGAACCATGGAATCAAATGATGAGAAGCGGCCAAATCATGATTATCAGAGAAGGTATCATTAATTTCGGTCTTTTCACCCAATTCTCGCATAGCTTCATCCTCTAACGTAGACAAGTGATCAGCAACTTGATTTTCAGTCCCTTTTATATCTTTTACTTCCAAATCAAACTCTTGCAATAATATCACCCATCTAATAAAATATGGCTTTGAGTCCTTCTTTATAATCAAGTACTTCAAAATAGAGTGTTCGTTATGTACTATGACCTTTGTGCCAATCAAATGGGAGCTAAACTTTTCGAACACAAATACCATTGCAAGAAGATCTTGTCAGTCACTGTGTAGTTATTTTAGTCCTCATTCAAGGAATTACTTTCATAGTAAATGGGGTGAATGATTTTAACCCTTCTCTGTCCCAAAACTGCACCAAGATCAACCCAGCTAGCATCACACATCAACTTCATTGACTCATTTTAATCTGGGAAATAATAATGGGTGTGGACACCAACTTCTCCTTCAAATCACCAAATGCTTTCAAACATATTTCATCAAAATCGAACTTGCATTCCTTCTGAAGAAATTGGCAAAGAGGATGTGCAATTTTTGAGAAATCCTTAATAAACCTCAGGTAGAATCCCGCATGTCTCAGAAAACTTCTCAAAACTGTTGCAGATATGGGTGGGGGAAGTCTCTCTATAACTACAAATTTCGCTCAATCAACCTCTATACCCTTTTCCCATATGAGATGACTAGCTAATATACCTTCGTTCACTATAAAGTTACATTTTTCCCAATAAATCATACGATTGCAATCTTTACACCTTTTGAGAACCCCTGCCAAGTGACTCAAACACTGATCAAAGGAGCCGCCCATAGCGAAAAAGTCATTCATGAACACCTCAATACTATCCTCAACTATATTTGAGAATATCTACATCATACATAGTTGGAAGATGGCCGGTCCATTACACAAAATAATAGACATTCTTTTGAAGGCGAACGTCCCATAAGGGCAAGTAAAAGTATTCTTCTCTTGATCCTCCAGGGCAATAGAGATTTGATTGTAACCCGAACACCCATCAAGAAAATAGTACCATTATTTTCCTTCGAGTCTATGCAACATCTGATCCATAAAGGTCATAGGAAAATGGTCTTTCTCAATCCATGCATTCAACTTTCGGTAATCCATACAATCTCTCAATTCGGTTACCGACAACAATGGAACAAGCTCATTCCTCTCATTAGGCACTAATGTAATCCCCCCACCCCTTTTGGGCAAACATGGAACAGGGCATACCCAACTACTGTATGTAATAGTATATATGACTCCAGCATCCAACCTCTTAATGATCTCCTTCTTCACTACTTCTTGCATGGGTGGATTAAACTATCTCTGATGATGAAGACTTGGCTTCTGATCGGGCATGAGTTGGATTTCGTATGAACAAAAACCAAAGGGATCCCAACAATGTGCACAATGGTCAAACCAAAGGCTCGTTTGAACCTTTTCAAAACAACCACCAGACACTCTACTTCTTGCACATTAAAATATGTTGCAATGATTACTAGCAAAGTATCATCTGTACCAAAAAATAGATACCTAAGATGAGGTGGTAGAACCTTAGGCTCCAATTTTAGAGCCTTCTCAATAGAGTGTCTCGCTAGTGTAGACTCGTGATGCTTCACATCAAACTCCAATTTTTTTGTTTTTGATCGATATTCATTTGATTCAAGTGTTGCAATGAAAGACCCATACTCCTCAACAATATCACTTTTAAAATTAATGATCACTACTTCTAGTGCCTCAACACCTGGGCGTTCTTCGATATGCACTTTAGACATACTCTCATCCTGACAAGATATAGTCTATATTGTTTGGAGCTCACCACTCTACATCATGGACATACAAATGTTTAATATTGTTTCTTCATTGTTAAACCTAAACTTCATCTGCCCTTTCTCCTTATAAACCAAGGCTTGACCAGTGTCAATGCATGGCCTACCAAGAATAATAGGGACCTCAAAGTCTACCTCAAAGTCAAGAATCATAAAATCATCAAAAACTATAAAGAACTCCACTTTCACGAACACATCATCGAGTATCCCAATGGGCCTCTTCACTATTGAATCGGCCATCAATTACCACATTGCAAAGGGATATGGGTGACCCAAACCTAATTTCTTATAAATGGAAAAAGGCATGAGGTTTATGCTAGCATCTAGATCACATAGTGCTTTGGAAAAGTATAATAATCCGATGGTACATGGAATAGTAAAAGCACTTGAATCGTCCTTCTTCTGCAAAAAAAATCTTGTAACAATAACACTACTATACTGCATTCAATCATCATATTAAAAACATACAAATCTCTTCTTTGTAACCATACCCTTCATGAACTTATCATAATCGGGCATTTGTTCTAAAGCTTCTATAAAGGGAAACTGATGTAAAGTTATTTCAACATAGTGATAAAACTACGGTGTTTACTATCCTCAATCTTCTTCACCAATCTCTAAGGGAATGGTGGTGGAAGTCGAGGAATGAGGAGCACTTTCTGGGGTACCTTTGCTTCTTTCACCATTTTGTATACCAATTTACCACTAATTTCCACCACCTCTGCGTCTTTTCTCATAACATCTTCAACCACAGACAGCATATGTGGATCAATAGTTTTCTTACCTCCTCTAGTAGAGACTGCCATGCAATGTCCATCATTTTTAGGATTTTGTATTGTATTCCTAGGAAGAGTGCCCGGTTTGCGTGGATTCACAATAGTAGAAAATTGAGACATTTGTAACTCAAGATGCTTAATCGAGATTACATATGCATTGACCTTTTTCCTAATGTTACCTAAATCACCTCTCAATTCATTGGCATGCTCATCACTAGCATCAAACCTTCTCATCATTTGTTGTAATATATCCTCAATTCGTGGCATACTACCTCCACCATCCCTAGGATCAATTTCCTGATTTTGAGGTGGAACATAAGGTCCACTTCGATCATTTATGTTACCATAATTACACCGATTAAAGTTATTTCCATGGTTGTAGTTTCCATCTCGAACATAATTACCCTCTCTATTGTAGATACCATAGATCTGACCTTTGTTTCCTTGACCTTGACGCCAATCTTGGGCGTTTGGTTAGAAACCCCCCGTCTGATATTCACTATATAAGTATCCTTTTTCATAATAGTACTCATACATTGGCAGTGGTGGTTTAGTAAGGTAATTCACCAGATTTACCTTCTCTACACATCTAGTGAAGTGTTTAAATACCAACTCAAGCTCAATTCTCATTTGTGCCATCTCCTCATGAATATCATCTACAGTCGGACTGTGCGTAAGCTACACTGCAAAGGTTTTTCTCCCAGTGTTTGACTTTCTAGTACTCCAAGCCTTATTATTGCGAGAGACTTTCTTAAACTTTTCTACAATCTCAGCATATCTGCACTCACCATAAGAACTCCCCATAATAGTATCCAGTACTACTTTGCAGTTATCATCTTTACCCCGACAGATGTTTTCTTTCAAAGACTAATCATAAATGCGGTGGTTTGGAACGCCTCTTATATATGCAGTAAATTTTTCCTAGGAGCTACTTACCAACTCTCCAGGTAGTGCCAGAAAGTTGTTCGCTCTATCCATGTGGTTGAGCTTCTTGGACACCGGGTAGTACTGAGCTCAGAATACATCCCTCAACTTATCCCAAGTATAGATAGAATTAATGCGCAACTCAGCAAACTATATCGCAGAATCTCCAGTCAATAATAGAGGAAACATTCTCATCCGATGATGTTCATATCTAAATTTGGCCTTCCCATACAGTACTTATACACAGATTTTAGTTTGTCTATTTGGGCATGTGGATCCTCTAATGGTAGCCCTGAAAATAAATCCCTTGCGGTGAGCATCTGTATCAAACTACTAGTTACCACGAATGTGTGCCCATGGGGTAGACGAGGTAGGACAAGAGGCTAATCAGAATCAGTGATTTTGACATTAACCCTATAGAAATCTTGAGGGCGTGGGACGGGAGGGGGACGGGAGGTTGCATCCTCAAGGCATCATTAACTTGATTTTCCGCAACTACTTGATTCTGAGCATCAATCAATTGTGGAGATTGTCAAATGATCATATCACCTAGATTGGTTGTGTTCTTCTGATTCTGCATTCTTTAAAGTGTACGGTTAAGTTCAGGATCAAATGGAATTAGTGATTGTACTTGGGTCCGTGTAATTGGAATACACTAGAGCTAGACCTGAAAGAAACTAAAAAAAAGAAAAGTAAAATTAGGAAATTGTTGACTAAACTTTAGTAATGTTATTAAGGTTAATCTAAAATCTACTTTTCCTGGAAGCGTCGCCAAAAGTTGATACGCTCAAATTATACCTCCTTATTGTAGTATAAGAAGTCATATAAAGTAAATAACCCAACTATTAGGTTGTGGTCGATCAAACCAGAAAAATGGTTTAGACATAACTTCAATGTACAATTACTTCTATTTAGTGAAGCACTTTCTGAAAATATCTAATTAAAAAGAGGGGTTTTGTGAAACGAAATTATTTTAATATCTTTATGTAAAATGAGTAACAGGAGTAAAACTTTGGTTTTTTATCAAGTTGTGAGAAAAACTAGGGTGTAAGTGTTCCCCGTAGGTTCATAATATCGTATTCCTAGCTATAACAATTATTTCCTAGTGTTTTGTATGAAAAGTGATAAGTTAGGCATCTCTAAATTATTGGTCTGGAATTAAGAGAATTTCACCTTGTACCTTGGTCCAGCTACGTGTGTATAAGGTACTAACCCTTACCTTTACTTTATATTAAGCATCATATTCGATGTATGACTTAGTTATTACATCGCATCAATCGAGACTAGCCTATTAGATAGTATCCCACTAAATCTATGTTGATAATATTTTTCTTATTACCTACATCATTGGTCCGGCAAGTAGCAACAAGGCAAGTTCTAATGTGTGCACTTGTTAAAAAGACTTCTGAACAAAAGAATTATCAATTCATGCAATAACCTATTTGAGAAATGTTATTAAGCTAGGTTTCGTTGTTAATCGCCCATTGTTACCATAATCCTAGTTGTGGATTTAGTTACCCATGCATATAAGAACACAATCCATAGTTGTTAAACCATAAAACATGAACTTACTTTGAAAATTCGAATAAAATCAATAAAATCAACTTCAAATAACAAGGAATCACTTGAAAACCAAATCCGAAAATTGAATATATGCTAAAGTTGCAAAACTCAATCTCCAAACACAAACTAAGAACAATAGTAATAGAATCAAAACCCAAAAACAAGGTCTTACACCGTATTTATAGAAAACATAGTCCTATATTAAAAGGAATTAAAATAAGAAAACTTGTGCAAAAAATGGGGCTGTAATTGATAACCCCCACAGACATAGTCCAGACATGGCATCTTTTTCATCTTTAAGCTGGTATTCTCTCTGAATCAATCGACAGACCAACATCACTGATGTGTGTATGGTTCCTCATTTCCTTTCTTCGTTCCATACTTTGACTTACTTAACCTTCGGGTACTGGGAATATCTTTAAACTTATCAAACATTCAATAGGACGGTCCGTCGTTCATTCGATGGACCATCGATCCTTCCATTTTATTCCTAAACTATAAGTCGATGGTAACCATCTACGGTTCGTTGATGGAATGACGGACCATCGATGGTCACCATCTACTGTTCATCGATGGAATGACGGACCGTCGATGGCCTTCGTCGGTCACTTTTGCACTAAATCTCAACTGCCTTCTGCGTTTTGTGTTTGGAAATCAATCCTGCAAAACAAAGATAAAAAAATGTGAAAACTATTACAAAAAGGCTTTAGAGACACAAAAATCTCAAGGAAAAATCACTGGAAGTAACATGTAACCTTGGTAATTTAGGTGTCGATAGATATCATCCTATCAATGGATAAAAATTATCCTATCGACGAATCTTTATTATTATTTCCTACCAATGGATTAACATATCCTACCAATGAATGATTATTTTATCCTACTTATAAATCATTAAAGTTATCCTACCAATGGATCATGAAGATCATCTTACCAATTGGTTTTCATCACTATTATCCTACCAATGGATCATAATCACTTTCCTACAAATGGATTGTCATCCTTTTACTAATATATTTTCATTAGCATTATCCTATCACTGGATCATAATCACTACCTTACTAATTCATTATCGTTATCCTCTTACCAACATATACCAATATAATCTTACTGACGGATCTTTATAATCTAGATTATCGTCATACTATCAATGGATCACCATTATCCTATTGGTGGATCATTATCATTATCCTACCAATAGATCAATATCATCCCACCGATGGTTATCTGTTAGCTTTATCCTACCAACGTATCAACATCATCCTACCAACGTATCAACATCATCCTACCAACGGATATTCATTTTCATTATCCTACCAATGGATCAAGATTATTCTATTAATGGATCATCAACATCATGCTATCAATCGATAAACATCATCCCATCATCTGATATTTAATATCATTATACTATCAATGGATCATCATTTTCCTATAAATGGATCTGCATTTTCCTACAAGTGGATCATCAACATTATCCTACCGAAGAATCATCAGCATCATTATTCTACCGATAGCATCATCATCACCCTATAGATGAATCAACATCAACATCTTATCATTAATGTCATACTCTATATGTTTAATCATTTATCCTATTAATGGAGTATCAATATCATCATGTTATAAATGTAGCAACGTCATCATCCTATAACTGAAGAATCATTTATCCTTTCAATGGAGAATCATCATCATCATCATCTTGTCGATGGATCATTATCATCCTACCAATATATTTTTATTACCATATCAATGAATCATCAATATTATCCTACCAATGGATCAACATTATCATATCAATGGATCATTATCAATATCCTACAAATAGATCATCATCATCCTATCATGGAGCAATATAATTCCACTCATAATCATCATCCTATCACTGAAGAATTATTATCCTATCGTTGGAGAATCATCATCATCATCATGCTATCGATGTAGCAAGATAATTATCCTAATATTATCATCATCCTATCAATGAAGAAATATTATCCTATTGATGGAGTATCACCATCATAATCCTATCGATGGAGTGTCGTCATCATCATATCATGTAGTAGCATTATCTTACCAATGGATTAGCATCGTCCTACCAATTCATTATCTTCATATTACAAATGAAGAATTAAAATCATTATTTTCATTTTCAAGAACGACGTCAAGAGATCCATCAATATATTACATAAATTATTCGAAGGGATCAGCTAAGTGTCTACATTGTAAAAGACGTTATCTCCCAGATTGAATTACATTTTATGCTAATGAGTTTTATCACAATCTTTTTCGAGAGCATCCCATGAGGATGTTTCTCAAACAAACCAGTGGTACAGACGACATCAAAAATAATGCAGCATACGTGGAACTTTTTCTTAGCAGCAAACTGGGAGATAGTCCAAAGAGGAATGTGAATCTCTTAGGACGCGAGTTGAGGAGCGACTTCCACCACAATGAAACCACATCCCTAATAGAAGTCATGTGAGTTTTTGTTTAGATTTCTTCGTTTCAATTTGCATTTGTAAATTTGGGTATTTGCCGGAAGCAGCTTTCCGATCCAACTAACAATGCTCCAAGAGCTTTGAAAATTATGTCCGTGTGAGTTCTTATCTATGGATATGAAAAGCTCCGCCTTAATGGCTAAGAGGTTGTAAGCCTCTTTTTCATACTAGATTTATTTGTCGCATTTCTATAACCAAAGGCTATATAGCATAATAGATTTCCTTTTTAACCGATTGATTCAAAACTACAAACAATCTGAACCCTAAGGTATAAGGATATATACGGAGGTTCTATGTTGAAAATTCGGATATATTTCAATATTCGCTCTTAAATCTTATTCCTGAGCATTTCGGTCCCCTCATAATTCACTATTGGGTTGACTTTCTAATTCTCGTATAATCATGTGTTAAATCAAACTTATTGAACTACAAGTGACCAAAACTCTCATATAGCCTGAGATATGTAGGAAACTCATTTTTGGGGTTTGGCGATACACCTCAAGTCCGTACCAAATCTCTATCAAAAGATGATGATGTGGTCGGTCTATATTCGAGTAGTCAATTTAATCATCGAGCTTCTGAAACTTTAAACGATTTAAAATAATTAGTTTTACAGAGCTTAAAATAACTTTCAAGTTTTGAAGTAAGTTTGGTCGTTTTTATAAATTTTAATAATACGTATGTTTTTACGTAATTAAATTCATTTTATAAATATTCAAAAAATCAACTCAAAATGATTTTAATTTTAGTATGTTTTTTTTAAAAAAACTAAATTAGTTTAATTTAAATTATACTTATATTTATTCGAGTTATTACTTTTTAGTTTGCTAAGTTAAATATTTTATATTTTTAAGGTTAAGAAGATCATTAATTAATTTGTTATTAATCTGCCTTATTTAGATTTTTTTAGCTGAAGCGCCTATTTACTCATTCGTTTAACATTTCAATTCGATTTGACTACGCTTGTTATTTGTATGATCATTTCCTTAACATAATCGCAAAACCATAGTTGGACCGATATTTTTTTATTTGCAGCAGCCCCAGTCATTTTTATTTCCAGCCAGCCATTCCGAATCCAATTTTTGTTGTTCTCAGGCCAATTTAATTCCCAGAGAGAAAAAAACATTTCAGCCAGCCCACTCCCTATTCCCAGTCCAAAACACGTCACGCCTCAAGGACAATCGAGCCGATAATGTCCGTCCACTTCCCCTTTCCTCTTTCAGAATAGGTTAAAAACTCAGAAAAGTAGGTCTGGTCTCCCTTAATTGGTGAAAGGTTTTGAATTTCGAATTGAGCCCTCTCATCCTTTTTTTTTTGGAACCCTAGATTTTCTTTTTTATATATGCCAACTAATTAGTCATTGTGAGGGGAGGATATTTATTTTGTTGGGTTATTACCTAGCAAGAAAATACAAAGAAAGCTTGAGCAAAAATACTCTAAATACAGACTAAATACTTTTCGAAAAGCAGAGAATACCATATCTTCAGTATTTGAGTTACATTTTGTGCTTCAATCTTTGATCGTAGTTCGTGGTTGAGTTCTCGTTGTAGGAAGATATTTTCCTCACTCTCTCCATCCCTGTTTGCTGCAAAAACAAGGTACGTCTTCCTAACTCTCCTTCTATATTGAAACAACTTTAAACGTCTGAAAACACTTCTTTTTTGTGCTTGGTTAGCTGTTAGTTTTTTGTTTAATTCCTAATGTTTTGATATGATGTATATGTTTAAGTCGCTTCATGGAGTATGTTGCAATATCAAGTTAAAGCTTTTGCGAACTTGTACTCAATATTCTGGTCTTTGTATTTATCTAGCTGAGTTTTGCTGCAAATTTCTTCTACTGATAATTGTTTTTCTTTTGTTAGCATGGTTATTTTTATAGTTTTTTTTTTCTTTCGTTGTCCCTCTTCCTAGGTTTCTCGTCCTGCAATACATGTGAGTCCATGTTGATTTTTAGGAATCCCCCTCACTCCAACTCATGTTCTTTCTTCAAAGTTAATGCTTATTCCCTTTTATTATTATTATTTTATTGTTAGTTATGGTGAAATACATTAGCTTATTTGAGTAACACCATAATCGACTCCATATTTCATGGGGCTAGTGTGTTTTCTCTTCTTTTTTGATGTTATCTTATTACTGAAAATGCTAAATTCCCTGCTCATTGTTTCCTTTTGATGATTTTTGGGTTGCATGAGCCTGTATATCAATTTTCAGCGATAGTCAGTTGTTAGAAATCTCATTGTTCTGCAATAGCTCTTTGCAGTCTTAAAGGACATGGGTAAGTTAGCTACTATTCATTATGTGCCATATCATTGATTTCATGATATGTTCTTTTCCCATGCTAGCTTGAGATATACTTAGTTATACACACATAGCGAGGTTTCGTCTTCATGTCATTTAATATTCGGTTGAAAATGTTAGATTTTAACTTGAGTTGGCTCTATTTTATTGTTTGTGATCTTCATCTTGTTCTTTGTTTTATTTTTCCCGCTTACTCTCTTAGTTTGTTTAGGCATTTGACATTAACTTCGATTTTTTTTACTCTTTTATCTGTGTAAATGTTTACTCTATTTGGTATCTTCGATTAGCTGCAACATTTTAAGCTTAATTAATCTATTTTGTGGCAAAAAAATCACTTAGAATAGTTTATCATTATTGGTTAAATTGCTGTAGTTTACGTGGTAATATTATAATAAGATTTCTTTAGTTTGCTTGTTTGCATCTTAAGCAATTATGGTGCAAATTTGATTTAAGCCTCCACCTTTGATATTGTGTCTCCTCCTTCTAGTCAACTCTTTGTTAGGATTTTTAAAATAAGTTCAAAAATACTGTTTGCACCAATGTGTGGCCATGTGGTTGATCTCTTGGTTTGTGACTTTTCTCATACTTCAGAAAGAATTATTCATTGCAGTTACATGAGATATATGAAGTTATAGCATCTTGGTTCAAATTTTAGTTGATTCCCCTTTATAAAATTAATTGATCACTACTTACATTTTGTCTCATTTTCACATGTAAAACTCAATCGAGTTTACTATGAACCATGGTTTTCCTTCTCTCATTTCGAGAAGATCCATATAGTCTCAAAATTCCTTCATCTAGTTAAGCTGACAAAATCGACGTACATGACAAGAAGTAGGAGAGATTGAGTGAAAGAGTCCAAATATATTTTTTAAAATACTGTATTTTGTTATTTTTGTGCCTTACCCCTTGTAATTTTTTATTATTATCATGTTAGATTAGGGCAGGTACCGTTTAAATGGGACAAAAGACCCAAAATGAAATGGGTCCAAATATCGGTCTAGACGGACACAAATCGGATTTGGTTCCACCTTTCTCTATCTCTTTTACTTTACCTCTTATTTACTTGTTACTAATTGTCGTTAGTATTTTGGTCAAAAAATTTAAAATCCCATGAGACGCCGTTATGTTTTAAATATTTAAAATAAATCCATCAACACTAAATAAACATTAAAAAAAAATCACTATGGAAAACTCAATTAGATTATTAGGTTGATATTTCACTTTTTCAAAGGATTTCAAATAAACTTGAATCAAGTTAAGCATTTTAGCCAAACACTTTAATTGTCGGATAGTCGCAAGTAAGCGAGCGTCTATGGTGCTTTCAAAATCTTCGTAAGAAGTTAATATGAACCCATGAAACCCCTTTAAAGATTTTCAATCTATTTACTGTTTTTATCCTTTAAAATTGGTTTTCTTAATTTTTATATAAAATTATCTAGCGACTCTAAACAAGTCTTAAAACAAATATTTTTCTTGGATAAAACAATGTGTACCCATCCATCTGAAATACAACTTCACTTCATCGTACTTACAAAGTAATTGTTTTCTACAATCTAAATAATTAACAAAATTTTTACTCCAAAAAATAAATAACACCAAGAAGTATTAAAGGAATTTCTATTATTGTTATGCATATCTACCATATATTCTGAGGTGTAAATAAAACCATTTATTATGATCCAATCCATATTTTTCAAGGTTTTATCAACTTCTACATCAACCCCTATGTGCATGTACTCCATTGTTTTAGTTCTTGAGTTGTTTTTCTTTTTAAATTATAGCCAACCAGAACTTTAGAATACCTATAAAAGAGCTATTAAACAGAGTTATTCCAATTGTCCTCAATGCCCACAAATATATGCCTAAACGTTTTTCATATCATAAACATTAAGTTTACCCATGCGCATCTGGTAGGGTTTTTGCTTCATATCTGTTTTTGAGATTTTAATTGTATGAAGGACTTACCTACAATGTATGTGTTGTATCAGTGCAATCAATCAGTTGATTGATTATGCTATATAGAACAAATGTTTCTGTTTTTGTTCATCGGCATAAAGATTGCATCTCCATCATGAATCTTGATACGTATGGCAAGTTTTATAAGAGTACAACATTGAGAAATGATAATTTTAAATTAATGAATTATAAAGATATTTTTTAATAACAAAACTAATTTGAAATGTTTATAAAATACCATATATCTTTTTACAACTCTGGGGAATACATTCTCGATGATTTTTCTGTTCAAAACATTCTAAATAATTTTCCATCTTTTCCTTCCTCATTAGCGTGGAGGATGGATAGTCTTTTTCTTGTTGTTACTCAAGATATGCAACATATAATTTACCATGGATGAATATTTGTTATGGAAGATACGGTCCCACCCGATGAAGATTTTGTCCTTGGTTCTTCTTCATTGTTATAGCGTAGCATGGTGTTTCATGGAGATTTTCTTTTCCATTCACAGCCTCATAGGTAGTAAAGTAGTAGAAGTCAAGTTAAACTTCATAAGTAATCATACCTGGATAGTGTATGGGGATCATGGATGGCATAATGGAAAACTTCTAATGCACGAGGGGGCATTTTTTAGAAATAATTGTATTGGTCCTTAATCTGGGATAAGATAGGAATTACAATATACATACTGTAATAACAGGAAAGGCAGGAATTTATTCCATACATAGAGTTACTAGCATCCACACATCCACACACAAAAAAAATTAAATTGAAGTGTCAATCGTGCAAGTCTGTACGTCTTTTTGTTCATTGAACTAAAAAATATAGGAGTATAACATAAAATTTTAACCATATTTTAATCTTTTATGTGTCCAGGCTGCGCTCAGTGATTATTTTAAATTTAAATTCTTGGTAAAGTTGTATAAAGTAGCAGAATTGAATAGTGTATACGGACATGAGGAGACATCACACACAACTTCTATGAAAGTAGAGAAGAACTATTGAAATAAATTATACATGTGTACAAGTTTGTTTAAGAGAGGAACTGCATGAAACAAAGGTGAACATAAGGCAACAACATGGAGTACATATAGTTTTACATTAACAGGTTATTCAAAAAGTTTGTTACACAACAGCATTGGTGATTCCAATGTGAATTACAAGTAAGTGTTCTGGGTTGTTTGTTGGTGCAGTAGAATTAAGGTAAGTGTAACAACCTGTATCTAAAACAGGAAAAAACAAACTTTACAGAAAAATTTGCAGGAGCAACCAACAGTGGCATTGACGGACCGTAGCCAGACCCGCGGTCCGTCGTGCTCATCCATCGATGGGGTCAGAAACTCCCAAAAATCTTAGACCAGAAAAATTTGGTTAAGTCATGATTGACGGACGTACCTAAGGTCCGTAGGCAAGACTATGGTCCATAGTATTTGACCGTCGATTGAGACCCCATTGACCCACTCTCTGACAAAGAGACACGGATGACCAGCACGGTCCGTAGGTCTGACCGTAGGTTGGAATTAGCAGGCAGTTAAGGGGAAAATGCAGTTAGATCAACTTTAAATGGTCGTAACTTGTAGCACAAAAAGAATTAGGTGTCTAATGACCTATTCACATGTAGCTAATTGAATTAGCTTTCCATATCCACCGACCTTGCTAAAATCCGACCTTTGAATAAAACATTATGCCCATTTTAGTAATAGGCGTTCTTAACAGGCCAAACCTACGGCCAAAACAACAGATCGTTGATGGAACGACGGAGCATCAGTCCTAGTGGTTGTTTGGTCCGACAAAAACTTACCAAGGGGTCTTTAAGACTTTTCCTACTTCTTTTGAACCCTAAGAGACGTCGTTTTGACAATAAATCATCTGATTTTAGTTAGTTTAAGCCATAACTAAATAGCTGAAATATCTTACCTAGCATGTGTAATTTAAGAGCTGAAGAACTAGAAAGCTAGGGTTTTGAAATTCATGCGATAAACTGAATAATAACTTTATAATCTTATTTAGAACATGTCAAAGTTTTTAATGCATCATTATCAGATTAAATGTTGCATTCTTAGTTTGCATGTTCAGTTTTGAGCTATCAAGTTTTTATAGAAACTCACTCATAATTAGTTAATTACAAAATTCATTGGAGTAGAATAATACTGAGTTGGACTAGGGTTCAGCTTGCCCAAATAGTCCAGAACTACTAGCTATGTAGGTTGTAAGTCCCCTCTATGGGCAATCATTTAGTGATCACGCCGGAATGCTTTCATACCTTTGGCAAGGTATATAAGGTCCTCTCGATGGGGCGTATACATCAGACTCCAAATTTAGCTCATATGATTTTTTATCGCTTATTTCTAGATCTCACAGTTCAATCAGACTCTCTTGCATTGACCATTTATAAATACTCTTAGTATTCAGTTTCAGCATGTGATAAATTGGTCATTGCATTCATTTAGCTAAGAATTCTCTATATCATGCTCATATTATTATATTTGATTTTTGCTTGTTCAGTAATGTATTATTTCAATTTTACAATATTCTACATGCTCAATACCTTTAAAGTACTGACGCATACGTGTGCTACATCTTCTCCTGATGTGGGATCAGTTTCTCAGCACCCAGATCACGCATAAATCGATCTTCGATATTTAGTTCAGCAGATTCAGTGGTGAGTCCTCATTCTCCAAGGGTAACAGTCATGAGTTTTGTTTCAGCCCTTAGTCATTTAATTTCAGTTTTGCTACATCTAGCTGGGGCTTTCCATGTATTTATAGTTCAATTTAGATACTTATTTCAAGACGTACTTAGCTTCAGCTTAGTGTTGAGTTGGTAACTTCATTGTAGTAAATTCATCAGTCTTCATATTATACCACTTTTAGCATACTGGTATTCCTCATCTTTTTATTATAAATTATTATTGAGCTTCCACATCAGTTTCTTATCTTTAGTATGATCATGATAAGGCCAGCATGGTTAGCTTATGATTACTTGTGTTCCTAGGTTCCGTTTTAGAATCTCGGGGGTAGCTCGCGGCGTGACAAAACTTAATGTTAGAGAACTAGGTTTAAGTGTCCTAGGATGTCTAAAAAGCCGCACTAACTAGAGTCATTTTCATAGGTGTAAAGTGCACCACATCTAATGAGAGGGAGGGTATGATGTGTTTTAGGAAAAACTTCACTTTCTTGGTAATCTTATTGTGCGTGAGGTAGTATCTTATTCCATTCTAACTTGACGTTCTATGTTTCAGATCATGTCTCCTCGTAGAGATAACACTAGGAATGCGAATCCCAGGAATGCAAACGCAGCTCCTCCAGTCCCAGAGTAGGAAGTCTCTAGTGCTGAATACAGAAATGTTAAACGGATGTTGGCTTAGAGTATGACTAACCAGAACAATCAGGTTAATGTTCATTTGAATGAAAATGGTGGATCAGTAGTACTAAGTGTCCGTGACTTTGTTAGGATGAATCCGCCTGTGTTCTTAGGATCACATACTAATGTGGATCCTTAAAATTTCTTGGATGAGATCAAGAAAATCATTGATGTAAAGCAAGTCACTAGGAATAATAGGGTTGAGTTGGCATCATACTAGTTAAAGTATGTTGCTCATATCTGGTACCCTCAGTAGAAGGAGAATAGAGGTGCTAATGCAGCTCCTATCACTTGGTATTACTTTAGTGAGAATTTTCTCGACAGGTTTTTCCCAATAGAGTTGAGAGAGGCAAAGGCTCAGGAATTCATGATCTTGAGGCAGGGTATCTTGAGAGTCCAAGAGTTTGGGCTGAAGTTTAACAACCTCTCCAGGTATGCTCCTCACATGGTTGATGACTCCACAGCTTAGATGATTAAGTTCTAGTATGGAGTGTCGTATATGGTGAAAACTGAGTGTAGAAGTGCTATGTTACTTGGAGATACGAACATCTCTAGGATTATGACTTCTGCTCAGCAGGTTAAGAATGATAAGTTTAAGGAACTGGCTAAGGAGAATAAGTAGGCTAGGACTGGGAACTATAATTACTCTCAGCAAAGATCAGGTGGTGGAAATCGCTCGCAGAATCAGCATAAGTTTTAATCTCCCGCCCCTTAGTCCACTAGTGTTCCATCCTCCAAGAACATGTATGACCAGAAGGTTAGAATACCAGGCTCTAAATCTCAAGGAAGTGTTTCGGGAACCAAGACTTACCCCACTTGCCCTAAGTGTGGTAAGAACCATCTAGGTGAGTCTGTTGCAGTAAAAGAGTGATTTTTTTGGGTGTGGTTAGTTTTGTCATAGGTTGAGGGATTGTCATTCTAGAAAGGGTCAAGGAGGCGGTAATGGTAGAGCTCAATCTACAACTTATGCAGCACCAGCAAGTCGCCCAACTCTACAGGGTAAATCATCTGGTACAGGTGGTGGTCACCCTAGAATAGGTTGTGTTCTCTTCAAGCTCCCCATAATCAGAAAGGTTCTCCTATTGTAGTTACTAAAACGTTACGAGTCTTTGACCTTGATATTTATGCATGATTTGATGCAGGGGCTACTCTTTCCTTTGTAACTCCTTATGTAGCATTCCAATTCAGTGTTAGTCTAGAAACTCTCTTAGAACCTTTCTAAGTATCTACTCCAGTCAGTGACCTAATGATAGCTAAATGGGTATACGAAAATTGCCCTGTCACGGTCTCTCAGAAAGTAACCTCATCAGGTCTAGTAGAGTTAGAAATTGTAGACTTTGATGTCATTCTAGGTATGGATTGGTTACACTCATGTTATGCCTCGGTTGATTGTCAAACTAGGACTATTCGTTTTCAGTTTCCAGACGAGCCAATCTTAGAATTGAAGGGTAGTAGCTTAGCGCCTACGGGTCGATTTATTTCTTATCTTAAGGCCCAAAATATGATATCTAACGTTATCTCTATCATATGGTTCGGGTTAAGGATTCTATCCTTGAAACCCCAACTCTTTAATCAGTTCCTGTAGTCTGTAAATTTCAAAAAGCATTTCTATAAATCCACTTTGGAATTGATCTCCTTCTAGACACCCAACCTATTTCTATTCCTCCTTACAGAATGTCTCCAGTAGAGCTTAAGGAATTGAAAGAGCAGTTGAAAGACCTTCTTGATAAGGTCTTCATCAAACCTTGTATTTCACCATGGGGCGCACCAATGTTGTTCGTAAGGAAGAAACATGGTTCTCTGAGAATGTGCATTTAGTATAAAAAGTTGAACGAGGTCACAATCAAGAATAAGTATCCCATCCCCAGGATTGATGACTTGCTTAACCAACATCAGAATGCTAGTCACTTCTCAAAAATATACCTCCGATCGGGTTATCATCATCTTAGAGCCAGAGATAGTGACATTCTGAAAACAACCTTCTGAACAAAGTATGGTCATAACGAATTTGTAGTTATGTCGTTCAACTAACCAATGCTCATGCGTATTTCATAAAATTTATGAAAAGAGTGTTAAAATAGTACTTGAACTTTTTCATTATCGTCTTCATTGATGATATCCTCATTTACTATAGGAATGAGGAAGAACATGCAAGTCATTTGAAAAATGTTTTACAGACTCTCAAGGATCCCTAGTTATTCACTAAGTTTATCAAATGTGAGTTCTGGTTGCATATGTTGCTTTCCTTGGTCACATTGTATATAGTGAAGGGATCCAAGTGGATTCATTGAATCTAAAACTAGTGAAACAATGGCCAGACCTACATCTGCTACAGACATCAGAAGTCCTTAGGTGTAGCGGGTTATTATAAAAGGTTCGTGGAAGGATTCTCCTCTATAGCCTCACCATTGACTAGGTTGACTCAGAAGATGGTCAAGTTTCAATGCTCAGATGATTGTGAGAAAAACTTTGCATACTGAAGAATAGATTGACTACAACTCCTGTTTGACTCTACTAGAGGTTTTAGATGGTTATGTGATCTATTCTGATGCATCAAGAGTTAGCCTAGGTTGTGTGTAGATGCAGCAAGATAAGGTTATAGTTTATGCCTCTATACAACTTAAGGTTCATGAGAAGAACTATCCAACTCATGACTTCGAGCTTAAAGCAGTGTTGTTTGCACTCAAGATTTGGAGACACTACTTGTATGGTGTTCACTGACCATTAGATCCTTCAGTATGCGTTCATCCAAAAAGAGTTGAATCTTTGCAAGAGGAGATGACTTGAGTTCCTTAAGGATTATGATATGAGTGTGCATTACCATCCTGGTAAGACGAATGTAGTAGAAGATGCTCTTAGCAGATTATATATGGGTAGTGTAGCCCACGTTGAGGATGAAAGGAAGGAGCTAGTGAAGGATGTTCACAGGCTTGCTCTTTTAGGAGTTCGTCTTCCGAGAATATCAGATTGTGGTGTAAAAGTTCATAATGTGGAAGAATCTTATTTGGTAATGGAGGTTAAGGAAAAGCAAGACAGTGATCCAATTTTTCTTGAACTTAAGAATGTAGTCCTCAATGAGAGAGTGGAGATTTTATCCCAAGGGTGAGATGGTGTACCTTACTACAATGGAAGATTGTGTGTTCTTGATGTGGGCGAGTTGAAACAACAAATTCTTGTAGAAGCCCATAACTCTAGGTATTCTATTCATCTAGGTGCCACTAATATGTACCACAATCTGCGGGAAGTCTATTGTTGGGAATAGAATGAAGAGGGATATAACAGACTTTGTGAGTAAGATACCCAATTGCGAGCAAGTAAAGGTAGAACATCAGAAACAAGGAGGTATGACTCAAGAGATCGACATTCCTACTTGAAAGTGGGAAGTGATAAATATGGATTTCATCACAGGGTTACCGCGTACTCGCAGACAACATGACTCCATTTGTGTAATTGTTGATAGGATGACTAAGTCTTCTCGCTTTTTGGTGGTCAAGACTACAGATTTGGCAAAGGACTATGTCAAGCTTTACTTTAATGTAATTGTGAGGTTTCATGGGGTTCCTTTGTCTATCAGCTCAGATAGAGGTCCTCAGTTCACCTCTCATTTCTGGAAGTCATTTCAGAAGGGTCTTGGTACTTAAGTTAACCTTAGTACAACATTTCCTCCACAAACGGATAGGCAGGCAGAGCGTACGGTTCAGACCTTACAGGATATGTTGAGATTTTGTACGATCGATTTAAAAGGTAGTTGGGATGATCAACTTTCTCTTATTGAGTTTGCCTACAATAATATCTACCATTCCAGCATTTTGATGTCCCCTTATGAGGCTTTATATGGGTGTAGATGTAGATCTCGTGTTGGTTGGTTTGAAGTCGGTGAAGCGCTTTGATAGGGCCAGATTTGGTATTTTATGCTATGGATAAAGTGAAACTCATAAGAGATAGACTTATGACAGCCCTAAGTCGTTGGAAATCATATTCAGATGTAAGGAGAAGGTAACTAGAGTTCCAACTTCATGATTGGGTTTTTTAGAAGTCTCACCTATGAAAGGAGTGATGAGATTTGGCACGAAGTGAAGCTCAGTCCTAGATATGTAGGCCCTTACAAGATTTTGAAAAGGATTTTCAAGGTGGAATATTAGTTAGAGTTACTATCAAACTTAGCTTCAGTACATTCGGTCTACCATATCTCTCTCTTGAAGAACTGTGTGTGTGACCCAGCCTCCATAGTGCCATTAGAGTGTGTGCTGGTGAAAGGTAGTCTTTCTTATCATGATGTACCAGTTGAGATTCTTGACCTTCTGGTTATGAGGTTGAGAAATAAAGAAGTCTTTTCAGTCAAGATTTTGTGTAGGAGTCAGTCCATAGAGGGAGCTACATGGGAAGCAGAAGCAGCCATGAAAGTAAAGTATCCTCATCTCTTTCCTTTCATTCCACTCCAGTTTGAGATAATAGTTCCTCTTTATTTTCCAGTAATTCATTCGTGATTCAATCTTATAATCATGTTCCCTCAGTTTGTACTTACATTTTCAGCGTAATTGCATGTTCTAAGAACATAATTCAGTCATAAACCAAGTTCTCAGTGTTTAGTAGTACGGTTTGCAGCTCTCTCCCTCTATTCGAGGTGGTTTAATCTTCATTCGTGGAAGAATGTTCCCAAGGGTAAGATAATGTAACACCCCGTATCCAAAATAGTCCAAAAACTATATTTACAGAAAAATCTACAGGTGCAACTAACGGTGGCATCGAAAGACCATAGCCTGACCCACGGTCCAACCTGCACATCCATCGATGGGGTTAGAAACTCCCAATAATCTCATCCCATGAAAATTGGTTAAGTCTTGATCGGCGGACGGACTTATGGTCCGTAGGTCAGACTACGGTCCATAGTCTATGACCGTTGATTGAGACCCCATTCACCCACTCTCTGACAAGAGCCACACATGAATAGCCGGTGCGTAGGTGCACCCATGGTTCGTAGGTCTGACCGTAGGTTGAAATTAGTTTGGTGTTAAGGGTGACGTACAGTTGGGTCAACATCAAATGGTCATAACTTGTAGCACAAAATTAATTAGGTGTCCCATGACATACCCAAAGATAGATTATTGAATTATTCCATATCCACCGACCTTTCTAAAATCCAACCTTCTACTAAAAAGTTATGCCCGTTTTAATATAGGGTTGTCGAACACGCCCAACCTACGGACCAAATGACGGACCATCGATGGAACAATGGACCGTCATTCTTAGTCATCGTTTGGTCTTATAACAACTTACCCACGGTTCTTTTGGTCTTTACTTCTTCATTTAACCCCTAAGATACATCATTTTTATACCCTAAATAATAAAATTTAGTCAGTTTAAGCCTAAAAACATAACTTAAACTTACCCTAAGTCAAATCATTAATTAAAACGTAGAAATTAGAAGCATGGAAGATGAAAAATGTCAAGCACCCTAGTTCAAAAACGTCGCAAGGCTCCAGCAGTTCCAACCCCAAAATCTAAGTGTTTCTTCGTGAATTTCATGACCAGGTATGTGGGATTTCGCTAGTGGGTTCCTTCCACCCATTGGGTCTCTAGTTTTCAGTCAGTTCTTGATTATCCTATCATGATTAAACCCAGGGTTTTTATAACTTTGATAGAACTTCATTAATTTATTAAATATATTTTCCAAATAATATTTTAAAGTTATTATTCAGTTTATCACAAAAATTTCAGAACCCTAGCTTTCTAGTTCTGTAGTTGTTGAATTACATATGCTTGGTCAGATATTTCAGCTATCCAGTTATGTATGCCTCAGTTTTTAATGCATCATTAACAGATTAAATTTTTCATTCTAAGGTTGCATGTTCTATTTTGAGCTATCCTGTATTTAGAGAAACTCAGTCATAATGATTTAATTACAAAATTCTGGGGAATAGCATAATACCGAGTTCACCTAGGGTTCAGCGTACCCCATAAGTCCTACAACTACAAGCCAAGTAGGTTGTGAGTCCCCTACGTGGGAAATCAGTTTTGTGATCACACCAGCTTGCTTTTATACCTGTGGCATGGGATATTGGGTCCTCCCGATGGGGCGTATACATCGGACTCTACATATGGCTCATGTGGTTTTATTATCATTTATTAGTATCTCCCACTGTTCCGTTAGACTCTCTTGCATTGACCATTTATCATTATACTCAGTATTTAGTTTTAGCATGTTATAAATTGATCATTACATTTAGTTAGCTCAGAATTCTCTATATCACGCTCAGATTATTATACTTGCTTTGTGCTTGTTCTTTTATGTATTATTTAAGATTTACTATATCCTACATGTTCGGTACCTTTCAAGTACTGACCCATACTTTCGCTACATCTTTTCGTGATGTAGTTTCAGGTTCTCAGCATCCAGATCACGCATAGATTTATTTATGATTTTAGTTCAACAGATTTGCTGTTTAGTCCTCATTCTCTGAGAACAAAAGTCATCAGTTTCATTTCAGTCTTTCGTCATTTAGTTTCAATTTTGCTAGATTTAGCTGGGGCTTATCCCAGTATTTCGAGTCCAGTTTAGAGGCTTATTTCAGACGTAGTTATCTTCAACTTAGTATTGAGTGAGTAACTTCATTGTATTAAACTCATCATATTCATATTATATCAATTTTAGTATATGGGTATTCCCTATATTTTCATTATAAATTATGATTTAGCTTCTTCATCAGCTTAATTATCTTAAGTATGCTCATGCTCATGCCAGCAGGGTTAGCTTGGGATCACTTGTGGCCCTAGGTTCCTTGTCCGCATCTTGGGGTAGCTTGAGGCGTGACAGTAAGCAGAACACGACGAAAGTGACAAACTGGACAAGTAACCAGAAGGAAAAAATGGAATGCTTAAAGGTATGTTAAGATCGATGAAGAAGTTGAAAATTTATCGGGAGGGTTGGAAGATGAAAAAGTTAGTGTTATGTAAAAGCATTAGAAGGAAATTATTGAACTGGAAAGAACGTCAAATATAAAAGTAGTGGTGCGACTGTTTTTTATTAATTTAAAAAAAGACACATAGGACGATCAATAGGAAGATGGTAGAGGTCACAGTAAAAGGTAATGAGGCACTTTCATGGTTTAGTACTAAAGAAAAGTGTATGCAAGTGGGAATGCAGATTACCTTGATGATCGTTAGTGAATATGTGGTGGCAAATGGGCTGGTTGAGTCAAATTTGGGCGGGCTGAAAATGGGAAAACATAAAATGTGTAATAATTCAACATCGCATATTTGATATGGATAAATATTGTGTGGATAATGGGTTGGATAAAATACTAGTTTACCCATATTTTCATGTATAAATAGTACTTTACTTAAGAATTCAATATGGAGAAGATATTTTAGTCCTTTTTAGATGAAATGTATTGAACATGCTTTATTTAGGTTTATTGTATCATAAAAATAAAAAAATATCATATAAATTTTAAATATAAAATAAATTCATGTAATATCAAGATGAAAATATTTTTAATTTCAAAGTTAATGAATATTTGCATTTTAGGACTAAAACATACTTAATGCACTTTAAGAAATGTCAAGCTATTACATGATTTTCTTATTTTACACAATTATTGATTATGCAATATAAAAACAAATAAATATAATTACAATTAAAAAGAGATGTACATTTGAATTATATATTTTTGGAGGGTCAAAATACTTCACCTTTTCAATTAACATAAGAATAGTTAGTACTATAGAATAACATAATAAGGAAGAAAAGTTACACTATTTTTGTGATATCATGAATTCTGAGTAAATAAAAGATAGAAGCTTAACTAATTTGACTAATTCATATTTTACCCATATTTTAATGGATCAAATATGGGTATGAACTCATATTTTACCCATGTGAAAAATAACTCACCCAACTAATTAAAATATGGGCGGTTTGGGTGGGTCACAAAAATATGAGGTCATTTTGCAGGAACTATTAGTGTGTGGTTGGCCGAGTTGAGGATCATAGGTAAATTCCTTTTTTTCATTAATCTTCTTCCTCAAATAGAAGCCTGCATTGGTGAATTCTTTTTTTTTCACGACTCTCCATTCTTATCCTCATCTTCATCTCAATCTCCATGTGTATCAAATGTAATTGAGTCATCAATTGAAAAGAAGAGGTTTTGTTGAAGGACAATGGTAAACGACATTAAATGTAGTAATACAAAAGTGAGTTACCTATCTTCTATATCAGTAGGTTGAACATGCATTTAAGGAAACGAAAAGTGGAAAACTTGGATATTGTGAAGAAATTGGGATATTTAATAGGAATTAGCACTGAGTTTCGTGTATGGCTTTAAGTGGGCAACACAATTCTCGATAGCAATAATAGATTTATAAAGTGAAATATCTGGAGAGTCTTGAGGATTTTTTAGTAGCGTGTTGAACTACTTTAAATTTAGAGAAAAAAAATCCATTAGGCCGTGAGGTCGTGGAAACCCAACGTGTTCACATCTTCAACAACAAGCCACAAGAACTGAGAAACTGATGTAACAATTTGTACGGGCATTTTTTACAAGACGTACAATGTTTAAAAAGAATTTATAAGAAGGTTGTTGAAACCGTCTCTGTTTTTTAGTTTTGATGCAGATGGGTAGTGTTATTTATGTGCAAATATAGATCAAGTAAATAGGAAAATTTTTGCATCATTTCCGGATTTGTGAAGAATCTAGTCTTGGTTTTAGATACCTTAATCGAGGTTGGCGAGTGAGATGCAATGCTAATGCACCTTTAATGGGTAATTGGGAATTAATGAGTAGGGTGTGAGGGTTAGGAAGTAAATAAATAATATAAGGCTTAATTTGAAGAGTGTAGGTTAAGATCACAATGCTTGAGTAACATAAATTTGTTGGATGTTTGTGGAATTGATCACTATGTTGAAGGCAGCATGGGAGAACGATAACAACTGTTAGAAGTAATGGGACGTTGTGCGCAGGATTGATGAGCTATAACAAGTGAAGGAGGGAGATTTGCTAGAGGCATAATTCGTAAGTGGAAGGTGGAATGTATATGACTGAATGTAGGGAAGGCTATTTGTTTGAATTTTTTTAAATAAGAGAATTCTAGCTTGTGGTGGCGTCACGTCACCAGGCTGATATTGTTCTATCCCTACTCTTTACTATTTTACAAAATTTTCCTAAAACAAAAGTCATCCAAATACATTAGTTTTTTCTGGATATATTAGGTGTGATAGATTGCAAAAGTTGGTTGTTGCATTAAATAAGGAAAACAAACATAAAATTGATTTTAATTCTCACGATTCACAAATTTTAAAATTCAAATTCCATAATCTCCATCAGGTCACATTTGCTGCCCAAATAGCGAATAATTTAAATTACTCGACAAAATTGGTTGATACAATATGAATGTATTGATTTTGTTGAGATATTGAAGTATTTTGGTAAGTGATGTGAGTTATGAAGGTTACGTATGTGATGGAATTTCTATTAGACAACTGATTTCATTTTTTAATTTGAAAGCAACCAATTTAGCCAAGTTGTAGATCAATGAGATCAGGAAAAACTTGGAAATCAGATAAATCATAGAAGGTAACTCATCTCCATTCAAAATTAAGAACGATATGGGTGTAAACTATTTTTCGAGGTGAACAAAATGAGTTCGGATTTGCAATTATGCCCTATTTGTTGATATAATAGAGAAGAATGGTGGAGAGATATATAACTCTGATGGTACATCCGGAGAATTAAATGTGTCAAAGGTCAAAAAAAGGCAACCTAATCTCTTGCTATAGTTAAATAAATAATTTGTGATTCATATAATATTTCAGAAATTGAAAGTCATAAAATTACATAAGTGATTCATAGAAAACAAAGGTGAAGACAAGACAATTGTATAAGGATAAAGTAACTCTCATAGCTGTAATGAAGAAATATAAAATATAGCACAATTTAAATTTTAAAATAAAAGATGTGGTAGAAAACAGTTTGAGAGTATTTGATTTTCTAATTTATAATATTTATGTTACAATGTTTTTTTTAACAAATATATCATGGTGATATTTTTTTATCTTTTCGATGATTATTATATGTTGATAGGATATTCATAATATAGATTAGTTTTAAATTTTTAATAGTGTAAACTCAAATTTGTAATTGGTATCTCTATAGATTTTTTTGTGGTATGATATGAATCATTATAAGTGAATGTGTATCTATTTGTTAAGCATGAAAAGGTAGTAAATAAATATAATGGATTGTAAGTGATACATACAACAAATGAGTATGAAGTGATACATGATACATTTTGTATCTCTAATATAAGGCTATTACAGATGTTTATGACATGTATTAGACTAGTGATATGAATATGTTACATTCAACAATTTAATAATTAAGATTTATCAAATAGTTATAGTGATCGCTGATATGGATGATACATGAATAGCTATCATTATTTGAGATATTGTGAATCATTGAAGCATTATATATTTGAAATGTATCTAGTGTATGCATTAATATGATCAAAACAATTGTACAATTATGTGTCAATGTGCTTTTTGATTAAATGTGGCTAGAGTGTAAAGGCTTTGTGTCAAGAAAAGTCAGATGAATTCAAAGTGAGATACTTTAATAGTGAACATATGTATCCATTGATGATAATATACTAACCAAACTCCAAGAAATAATTGGGTTTGTAAGTGGTGTGACTATTTCTAAATTGGTCAACCATAAGAGAATCCATACTCAGAATTCGGGAATGTTATAGAATTCAATGGGGAATAAAGATGTCTTACTACCAAGCATGATGTGCTATTGAACGTACATTAGAAATGATAAAGATCAAACAATCAGATATATATAGGCAAATGTAGACATATATACACATGTTAAATATTGTGTATCTCAAATCATATATAATGATGCACAAGTCGGACAAACATGAATTCATGTATCTTTTCATACCTTGAGACCATTGATGAGAGGGTTCAATTTTAGTAGATCGGTTGTTATTGTCACAGTTGCATATTTTAGTGGAGCTTACAAAAAGAAATTTTTATAAGCAATCACATTATTGTGGAGCTTACAAATTGTATGAACAATCACACTGGATGGGGCAGGTATGTGTTTTTGTGATTGTGAACGTGTTTATTTTTGGATAATAACTGATATATAGTGTTACTCTTATATCAACAAACGATCATGTGTGTTGATTTCTGATAAGGTTTCATATTGTCATTGACAGATGGAGTTGTAGACAAAGAAAATTAATGTTCATCGATATGGTTTTTTGAACAATTCAAAAATACATCCAGCAAGCATGGAAAAATATGTGTTGTATTAGATACAAATTAAAGTATTATGAATAGTGTCAGCATTTTATTTTCAAATGTATCTCATTGCACATGCATGTGACATCTTTTGAAGAATGTCTGTACATACATCAGGAGGAGTAGAACAACCCTATATTCTACATTATGACTAAGACTTATCGAAAGAAGGATTTTGATCAATTAATGGCTAAGGTGGAAATGGTTGATCATAGAGTTAAGGAGTACCTAGAGGGTGCTAGGTATGGGAAGTGGTCGAGAGTTCATTTAACAGTAAATAGAGGCAGAATGATGACTTCGAACATCGCAGAATGTATCAATAACTGCCTCGACAGTTCTCTATATTAATATTTTTTAGAGGCTAGAATTCTTTTTTGTTCTTGAAACAGTCAAAACAGAGAAATATCCTCACATATAAAGGATACATTGAAAAGAATATTTAAGGAAATATTTATTGTAAATTCACATAAAGGTTGAAAGATGCGGGTATTCTAAGGATACATACATTACTATATATTTTATGCATTTGATATGGTGTGTCATTTTGTTGTTTTACCAACATTACTTTGAAAAAATTGAAAATAGTGGCATTTCATGTAACATATAAATAATTTTTTTAATGTTTGCAGATTGTTGCATCGACTAAAATTATTTTGTCAATTTATTAATATGGAGGAATATACATTTTTTGCCTTGAATGAAAGTATGTACTTCTAGAATATTTCAACTACACGAGATACCTAGCGTACACACAACTGTTGTTAAAAAGAGCATGACTATTACATATATGTATCCGTATTATTCTTATCACTACAAGCTTGATGCGTTAGAAAATCCTATGAGGTTTAAATGGTTTCAATTTTTTATAAGGAGGATTGGTCGGTTCTAGACAATGTTTAGGAGGAAATTGTGTTTCCACCTTGGTACAAAAGGATGCGAAGAAAAAAAATGCAGATAAAAAGATAATAATAAACACAAATTATAGTAGGAAATTTTTACAAGCCTCCCTTAAATATTATAATCAGATTTAATATCATTTTGTAAGAATAATTAATTGACAAGTCCTTTGTGTTCGATAATCCGACTCTTCTAGGGTCACCATATTACTTACGAAACCACGTACAATTGCATGTACAATTGGAAGAAAAAATATTTTGTACACGGAGTCCGTAGTATACTCCATGATTATATTACAAATGAGAATGATTAAATAACACAAAAATATCACAATAAAAAAGAAGCTTATTTGATTCAAGGGAGGTACAATGGATACAATCAGTTAAACTGAATCAATGATTATTTCATAAGGAAAGAAGTCAATCAACAAGGATAAAATAAAGATCTCGGAGCAATCAATAAGGAAGCTGAAGATTAGCCTTAACTTTATTCTTGGAAAATAAGCATGTCTACTGCTTTTTTTTTCAAAGATAAAGTCTCTTAGATTGTCATTTCTTCATCAGAAAATTCAAGTCTTAACATCTCAACACTATTTATAAACCAATGTCTGCAAAGATAAGATGTACACGAGTCTAAAATATGCTACATTCTCAACTCTAGTTTTAACAAGTACTATAGTACTTACTTTCTACTTATTAAAAAAAATAGAGAGAAGAAAATATTGTTTTAAGGCTTGGTATCAAAAGAAATGAGAAACAAAATAAGTTGAGTGTAGATATAGGAACTATATTCAAAACTTGTTTTTACTACAAAGTTCAAAAGACTAGGAGACAACACCCTTGCAACCCAAGGGGACTACACGTAAGTTCTACATTTGATCTCAATCAATATAAAACATCCTATGTCAAGTGGATCTTTCACACTTTCATTTATGTTTGTTTATTCCTGAAACAAAAGTTAACTAGCGACTCTTCTATGTCCATTATCCGAAGAAGAAAATCGAAAAAGAACATTTCACTTCCGGATGATACTACACGAACTACAACATAATTCTACGACCATCAAATCTTAGCTCAAGTAGGAAATTAATCATGGAAATTAGTAAAGATAGATGTACATCCTATGCATTACGCGAAAGATACACACATATTTGTGTATAGGTACCAATTGGATTACCAGTCAATAATCATATCTTTATACGTCACCGCTTACAAAGCCTTGTCTATGAAGAACATAATATATATACTTTATAGCAAATGTGTTGTCTTTGGAAAAACTAATACGACTTACGAAAAGTGAAGTCCAATAAACAGATGAGATACAACAGAGCACCACTCCAACACAAGATGAAGCACCTACCAACTTGATTCAACAATTGGTAGACTCAGGGAAAGCGATAACGAGGACCTATGGCAGCTGGTAGTTTTTACATAGAAAAGGAATCATAAAAAACATGCAGCCTTAGATACAAGCTCAAGTGATAAAAGTATAAGAGTTAATTTATTTGATGCTAATACAAGTAAGTTTATTGAATCTAAAATCTTTATATACAGGAAAAATCCTCATCAAAATCGAGCTATCTCGATGGGTTCTGAATCTACAACATTCCCTGCAAAGAGCTTAAACAAATTGATAGACTAATACGGTCCCAGTATTACGACTAATGATGTCAATAATATTATTAAAGAAAATAAAAAAATTAAGATGATAATAACCTCGCCACTACTATTGTAAATAGTTAGGCGACACAGGCATAAACCTACACGCCTAGTATCATTGGCGGACATATGTTAATAGAGTATGGGTGCTTAAGAAGCTGCTGCCTTTTGCGATTAATACAATTATTTGTGTAAAATATCTAATAACTCATTTAGAACATAATTGGTCACCCGTGATATAAAATTTCTAAAGGTGCCATTACCTACTATAACCCCTAGAAAAACCTCTACCTTATCTTTTGCAGTAACTCCTACTTCACCATCACAATCTACTGAAGCTACACTTTTGCACAATAACAATCTTTCTGAAATCTTATCCAAAGATAATATAAAATTATTAGGTAATATACGAATTATTTTGAGAGAAAACTTAGAAATAATAAAGAACAACCATTAAGATGATTGGATAATAGAGGTGATATTAACAAACTATTGAGAAATACAAATAAATGTTAGAGGTAGACCTATTATCAATTCTCACGTAAAAGATTTCTGGGATGTGATTACACTACATCAAAAATGAGCTTTAGTGACAAATAATTAACAATTGCTTCTAAATATGTATTTTTAGCAGTAACCATCACTCTTTATATATGTTCCTAAAGGTATTAACGATATTGGATCGAATGACAATTAACTAGTGGCGGTAAAAACTTTAACGCTCTCTATTAATGTGTCTATTTATTATTGCTAAAAGAATTTATTGTTCTAGTGTTAGTTGTTATTTTTATAGTATTATGATTAAGGTTTAAAAGGTAGCAAATATATGTGGTTCAATAAGTTCTACAAAAATAGATCGAGTCTTATTTTTTAAAAACAAGACCAATTTTCAACAGTGAGAAGTGTTTTTGTAGATATGGGTATGCACAAATACACCACCTAGGGGTGTACATAACTAAACAAAAAATTGAACTAAACCACAAACCGACTCAAATCGGAAAAAAATCCGACTAGTGGTTTCGTTTGACTTGGTTTGGTGTTGGAATACCCCCCCCCCCCCCCCCGACTATATTTGGGTTGGTTTGGTTTTAACTAAAAGAAATATACCCGAGACCCAACCAACCTGAAGTTATATATATTATTTTAAAATTTTATTTTATACGTAAAAAATAGTTTTATATATAATTTTTAAATATCTCTTATACTTTTTGATATTTTTTATCTATTAATACATTTATTTCATGTTTGGAAGATAGAATTCTTAATGATCTACTAATGAATATAGTCCATACATGTTAGTAATTCTAATAATGTTTAAATAAAAATCAAATTAATGCTAATGCAAAAAGAAAATTAATTCAACACTAAGAATGACAACAATATTTAATATTTGATTTTTAGTTTTTCATAGATTTTGACAATTAAATACAAGATCTAATTTTACTTTCTTTTAATATTTAGTCATGTAACTAATAATTACTAAACTTATTTTAGCATGCTTTAGTACTTTAAATTATGATCATTTTCATTATTACTTATTAATTTGCAATATTTTTTTCACACAATTTTATTTTTATTCTTTTATTGGATATTTTAGTGTCTTAATCATATCATATTTTTTGTTTTTTTCTTGAGAAATAACCTAAACAGATGCTTTTTTGTAGGACTAAAGAAATATTTGAAGTACAAGTAAACTATGTTTGTGTGCAAACTTTATCGAAAAATCCCAAAAATCTGAAAAAACATGAAGCTGGAAAATGCAAATTTTATTGGTTTGGGTTGGTTTATAAATTCAATAATCCGACACAAATGGTTTAGTTTAATATTTGAAAGATGCAAACAAACCCGGTCATGTACACCCCTAACACTACCTACCTAATAGGCATTAAACCCATTCTAATATCAGTATTCCCACACAAAAGTAAGCATAACAATAAAATATTTTTCTTCAAATTCATGTTCATTTCACATACCGAGTTACCAAATTTAATCTCCTTCAATTGGCTTAACTGACCAAACATATATAAGGTAATCTCTTTTTTTGAATGAAATGTTACCATCTGGAATAATACAACTTTTGGCAACATTTGTAATTAAAAAAGAAAAAAACCCTTCAAGGAATTGAGGGCATCTAAAATCATCAAGTTATAATACTCCTTTTTATTTAAACAATAGGTTTTCCTAACTAAACAATACAACCTTATACTTATATTAGAGGAAGATTTCTAGAAACTAAAATGTAGAGTCAACAGGCTCGGTGAAGCTGACTCTAACACTAAGTTCTTCCATACAACAACTCTCAACCACAGTAGAAGAAATAAAATTGTTGCCCTCCTGATCAAAAAGGGTTCCTTGTTGTACAACTTAGTGGACATCAAAGTCCAACAACATTATAATCGTTATATAAATAATTACTAACATCCAAAAAATGAATGGATAATATGCAACAATGATCGTCAAATTAATTAGATCTTGAAAAATTATTTCAAAGATAAAACGAATTGTCATGGAGAAAAAATCATTTTATACAAATAATAATGTGCAACAAACATAAATATAAGGCTAATCTTGTTAAATGGAATCCAACATCAATAGGACATGAACTAAACACGGAAGAATCTTTCAAAATAGGATCAGGAAAAAGAAGGCACATGAGGACTTATACGTGATACAGAAGGGAACTGGATAACTGGATCCATCAAAAATATCTTCAAATCTAGAACGATCCAAACAAGCTATGTGGCCTAGGGGCCAAAATTGCATTAGACAATAGGTTGATTGCATTAAAAGTTATATGGATTGTAGTGAAATTACACATTATTTATAAAATTATTGTCCTTATATATCTATCATCTTAAATGATAGCAGGGCACTACTTTTCAATCAACGGAACCTGCTAGCTAAAGTAGATATCAAGTGGAGAAAGAAGTGACTTACTCTCTAGCTAAGTAGGGGATCTAATCTATCAACAATCATTTCTCTTGCGCACTAGGTTGTTCAACCTTTGTTTTTGTCCAATAAGAGAGAAGCAAACATGGAGGGAACTCTTTGTTTAGGATAATCTACTACTCATGTCTTTTGTAATTTATATTGTACGACCCCTCTACCCACATACTAAACAACAATTTCACAAACAATCCATGTAATAATGCCTATAAGTCTTATTAATATAATATTTGTTTTTACAAACAAATAAAATGGAAAGAGACTCTTATATATTAGAATATGTAATTATTTTAAAAAATATTAAGTGATTTATTATAATTGACACAAATCGATATGTAATAGATATACTTGTTCATAATCCATCTTCAACAAAGAGGGTAGTCGATGATTGTTGGTAAAGTGCTTGAGCACTTAAAACAATGAAAAAAATAATTAGAAATAACAATGATTTAGAACTATAAATAATATAATAGATGATTTGGACAATAATTTTATCATTGGAGAGCAATTTATTAACGAATGACCTAAATTTTTTGCTATAGAAGGGGGTCAGCAAGTAGAAAAATCGAGATCTTTGGAAGCGAAGAAATTTATTATTATTTCTACTCTAAATCGTGTATTTTAAACTTTGAAGATGAAAAAACTAATTTGCAATTTAAGACTTTGAGGCTGATAATTTAGTCTTCAAAGGTTTTGATGATAGAAAATATTTAATATTATTTCAGACCTAGGTATAAGGTTTAGAATTTTTAAAATTTAAATGATGAATGGTGTCTTTTGGTCCAATAAACTAAGACATAGGGCTAGTTTGCAAATTGAGTTTTGAAAATGTCCATTAGCAAAGTTAGTAGAATCTTCAAGAAACCCTAGAGTCTCATCTTTATTTAATATATATAGTTGTGTTCTACTAGTCTCATCACATCATACTGTATGCCTTCCATCTGCGGCGGCTGAGATAAAGAGAACTCATATAAGTTAAGAGGAGGACATCTGTGACGATGAAAAAAATCAATATTTACAGTGCATCATCTCCATAGTTTTTTACAAAATTAAATTAATGAGTAAGCAAGGTGTAAATTCTTTCTATTCACTACTTTTTTTTTCTTTATCTACAACTATTTGTAGTTCATGTCTTGATATTATTCTTACATGACTTGATTTTTTTGGATTCTAGAGTCATGTTTAAATGAATTACCTTTTGAAAATGATTAAACGTATTTCCCTAATAAAATTTACACAATACATCCGCTTACCCCATCAATATTGTTGTCTTAAAAATGAAGTTTAATTCTCTGAATTCTAATTTTCTCCTAAGATTCAAGAAAGCCCTTTAAACCTAAAAAAGATGTTAAATTTATTATTGAGTAACAAGGATAAGATCTAGTCTTTCCAATCTACAAATAGGTATTTATTCATCTTTAGTAAAATATTTATTTTTAAATCGTCTATATCTTAAGAAATAATAGGAGGTAGAATAACCTAGGGAGTATTCAATTTCTCAACATGTTATCACCTCCCCTCATGACATCTTCCCCCATTTCATCTTCCCTTACACTAAACGTAAAAATAATTGGATGACCGATGGATTGGGTTAAAAATAGATTGACCCATAGTTAAACACATATTCACGAATAGATCACAATCTACTTTAGAAGTTAATATTCGAAAACATTTATATTCTTTTTTTTTGGAAAAAAGATGTGTTTTGATTAAAGAACATGAAACATGAAGCTCATTTTATTTCATATTAATTGAACTTTTGTTGAGTTTTTTAAATTAGCAAAATAAAAAAAATTGATTTTTAGTGGACCTTTTCTTTAGGAAGATATCATTGTTACTGGTTTTAGGAGTTCATTAGTTGTAGGTGTGTTTAGTTGCTTATATTTAGGAATCAGGTTTATATGTAATGTCTATTTATTTGGAGAGTCTCCGATCAATAAGAACATCTATATTTCTGATTACTGTTTACTCAATTGAACTCAATAGTGGTATCAGCGCTAGACTTATAGTGAGTTGTGAAAAAATAAACCGCAACTTACTTGGTATCTTGTAGCAACAAGTGTTGATTACATCTGAAAGTAAAAATTTCATCCAACCTGCTATTCCCTGCTTTGATGGTCACTATTATTATTGGAGCATGTCGATGAAAAACTTCTTGTGTTCAAAGGAGTTCTGGAGCATTATAGAGGCTGGTTTCAGTGAACCAGATTGTGGTGTGGTGATAGCAAAATCTCAACTGAAGGTTTTGGATAAGGAAAGACTGAAGGATGTCAAAGCTAAAAATTATCTATTCCAAGAAATAGATTATCCCATACTGGCATACTGGAGACCATTCTTCAAAAGATACCTCGAAATAGATTTGGGATTTAATGAAAGGAAAGTATGTTGGTACAACAAGAGTGAAACAACAACAACTTGAAGTCCTTCGCAAAGAATTTGAAGTCTACATATGAAAGAAGGGGGGTCATTAGATGAGTAATTTGCCAGAACATTAACCATTGTTAACAAGAAGCGTGTTTATGGTGGAAGACTAGATGACATTGATATTATTTAAAAGATTCTATGATCTATGTCATCAAAATTTGCATGTGTAGTTTGCTATATCGAGGAGTCAAAGAATATTTATACAATGTCAACTGATGAACTACAAAGCTCTTTACTAATACATGAGTAGAGAATGACACCTACTCCTACAGAAGAACACACATTAAAAGTGGAAACTCAATTTGATTCTTCCAACAAGAATGGTTTTGGACGAAGTAATGGTCGAGGTAGAGGTCGTGGGCGTGGCAGAGTACGTGGGCGAGACATAAATTCAAATGGTAGAGGAAATGCACGTGATAATGATCAATAATCTTCTTATGATTCGACATTTGATAAGTTGCACATAGAGTATTATCGGTGTCACATGTATACCAACTATCAGTGTGAATGCATACCTAATTTGCATTCATATAAGGGAGATGAAGAGAAGTAAAATTTCAAAGAATAAGAAGAATAAGAAGAAACTTCGCTGATGGCTTACCTTGCGCAAGATCAATCGCATTCAAATAAATTGTATTTGGACTCAGGTTGCAGCAATCATATGTGGGGTAAAAAATCATCCATTTTTGGGGGTGCGGAATTCATCATATTTTCATCGTAAATGAATATATATATATATATATACATATATATATATATATATATATATATATATATATTGTAGAGTAAAACATATTTTATTATAAATTTCTTCTGATAATTATTTTGATATAATTATTTCTTCAAGATTATTTATTATATATTTTATATATGAAATATCTTGGGTTCTTTGATACATATATAAATTTTTTTAAATTAAGTAATTTAATAACCTTATTTTTTTCATAGTTTCTATCCAATATTTTAAATATTCATAGCTCATTTTAATCTGACTCTATTTCTAAATCATATATATCTATTCTTTTTATATCTAATTCTTGTAAATCTATTTCATACAACTTTTTATTTAATATATCTTCTAAATTATACTCAAATATTTTTTCCCATATAATTCTTTTTATGTCATCAATTTCTATATTTTTAAGTATATATAAAATCAAAGTTTTATAGCTTCTTATTTCATCATACATTGTAATCATGTTTATTTATTTATGCAGGTTTGTTTTCAATTATTCCTTCCTATCATATTATAATTAAGTTAAATTCATATTAGTTTATTATAAACTAGAGTATCATTATCATGTTTTCCGGTCACTACAAGCATCGTACTTTAGCGGATAATTACTGCTTAACAGCGCCTCAACCTTTTGTACTCCCCTAACGGCATCCCTCGCCTGCCGATTTCCACACTGGGATGGCATAGGCTAGTAGTTTTCTCCCTGTTTCCCGTTTACTAGCAAACTAAAATTCATGATTCAAATATTTCTAGTGTATAATAACTAACATAAATTTAATCAATCATATATATGATATTCAGGAATATATGAAATTAGTTCTGCATAATTGTTAAACAATATACCTTTGTCTCTTGATTTTTCATGCTATCTATAATATCTGACTTGATTTCTGATTTCTCCATTCTTTAACTTAGTTTATATCTTCAGAGAGGTTTTTTGAAAGGGTTTTTATTAACTTAAACTTTTGTTTGTCATTGCCTGCCTTTCATTTACAATTTGGCAATCTATATATACTAAATTCTAAGCCTGCACATAAGTGCGCCTACTGTATACTTTACTACCACTACTATTTACTTTAAGACTTAAAATAAAAACTTAACAAATAACCTCTATACATTGGTTAATAAAAAGTAAAATCTTATTTACAAAGGAATCTTATCTTTGAAAAATATTATCTTTACTTTTACATTTCAACAATTCTTATCTCTTTGTCGGCCATCTTTTTTATCTTTTTCTTCTTTTGTCTTCTCATTATCGCTTTTTTTTTATCTTATCTTGCTTATCTCTTCCGCATTTACTCCAAATCGACATCTGGTATAACATTATCTTCTCCATTACATTTGGAACATCTGTGATCTGGGTATTGTGTCCAATAAGTTTACAGTATCTGATTAATAAGTCTTATGAAATAAATTCTTTCTTTAATGCTCTTGTTGTAGGTTGTACCTTTGGCTTTAATAATAATAAAATCCATCGCTGGACTTCATCCATATCTACCCTTCTTAATCCTCTTAAGTTTTAATATATCATAACTTGGCCACTTGCATAGTAACTCCAGATAGCATTGCCGTTTAAATAATTGTTAGCTAGTTCTTGTATAATTGTTGATATACCAATTATCCTTTTATTTGCATAAAAGTTTGGTATTTCTATCTTTGGCATTTCAGCTTGTTCTTCTATATCTTTTGCTATTATCATATCCTTGGTCAAACCTATCTTTATAACTTGAATTGGTGACTTGATTTCTTCATATAATATCTCAGTTGGCGTGTGTAACTTAATATAAAATAAATTTCCTTTGGTAACTCTCTTGTATATGACGAACGCTTTGTATAATTATGGTATTCCACTTATTTCTTCTCCACCATACGTGTATAAGGTACTTAGTAATCCATAACTGTAGCATATTTTAACTAAGTTTGAACTAGTTTTAGGTTGTGCAATTAATCTATTACACAAAAAATAGAAAATATAAAAGAAGAAGACCCTAGAATAGAATTAATTATATTTTCCTTAGATAAAGTAAAAGTAATCCAAGAAAAATTAGAATTATTGTATGACGAATATCCTTTACGAGGATGGGAAAAACATAAAACAAAACTTAAATTGATTTGATTGATGAAAATAATTTAATAACACAAAAATCATTAAAATGATTTAAATGAATTTTAAATACATATAAGTTAATTACTAAAAAGTGGATATATATAAGAAAGTAATAATAAACCTACAAGTCCGACATTTATTGTTAATAAATATAGTGAACAAAAAAGAGGAAAAAGTAGAATGGTAATTGATTATAGAAATTTAAATGCAAAAACTAAAACATATAATTATCCAATACCAAATAAAATATTAAAGATAAGACAAATACAAGGATATAATTACTTTAGTAAATTTTATTGTAAATCAGGATTTTATCATTTGAAATTAGAAGAAGAATCTAAAAACCTTCCAGCATTCACAATACCACAAGGATTTTATGAATGAAATGTATTACCATTTGAATATAAAAATGCACCAGGTAGATTTGAACATTTTATGGATAACTATTTTAAACAATTAGAAAATTGTGTAGTATATAATGATGATATATTATTATATTCTAAAACACAAGATGAACACATTTGATTCTTAGAAAAATTTATACGTATAATACAACACTCAGGAATAAGTTTAAGTACAAAGAAAGCAGAAATAATTAAACAACAAATAGAATTCCTAGGAATACAAATAGATAAAAATGGAATAAAAATGCAAAAGCATATAGTACAAAAAATAACAACCTCTAATGACCAATTAGGTACAAAAAAGAAATTACAATCCTTTTTAGGATTAGTTAACTTAGTAAGAGAATATATACCAAAATTAGAAGAAAATTTAAAACCATTACAACAAAAACTAAAGAAAGATGTAGAATATCATTTTGATAATAGAGATCAAACACAAATACAGAAGATAAAATTATTATGTAAAACATTACCCAAATTATATTTCCCGGATGAAGATAAAAAAAATTATTTATATAGTAGAAACTTATGCAAGTGAGAAAAGTTATGGAGGAGTATTAAAATATAAATATAATAATAATAATATAGAATATCACTGTAGATATTATTCAGACACAATGATTTAAATGAATTTTAAATACATATAAGTTAATTACTAAAAAGTGGATATATATAAGAAAGTAATAATAAACCTACAAGTCCGACATTTATTGTTAATAAATATAGTGAACAAAAAAGAGGAAAAAGTAGAATGGTAATTGATTATAGAAATGTAAATGCAAAAACTAAAACATATAATTATCCAATACCAAATAAAATATTAAAGATAAGACAAATACAAGGATATAATTACTTTAGTAAATTTTATTGTAAATCAGGATTTTATCATTTGAAATTAGAAGAAGAATCTAAAAACCTTCCAGCATTCACAATACCACAAGGATTTTATGAATGAAATGTAAATAGTAGTGGTAGTAAAGTATACAGTAGGCGCACTTATGTGCAGGCTTATAATTTAGTATATAGAGATTGACAAATTGTAAATTAAAGGCAGACAATGGCAAACAAAAGTTTAAGTTAATAAAAACCCTTTCAAAAAACCTCTCTCAAGATATAAATTAAGTTAAAGAATGGAGAAATCAGAAATCAAGTCAGATATTATAGATAGCATGGAAAATCAAGAGACAAAGGTATATTGTTTAACAATTATGCAGAACTAATTTCATATATTCCTGAATATCATATATATGATTGATTAAATTTATGTAAGTTATTATACACTAGAAATATTTGAATCATGAATTCTAGTTTGCTAGTAAACGGGAAACAGGGAGAAAACTGCTAGACTATGCCATCCCATAGTGGAAACAGGTAGGCGAGGGATGCCGTTAGGGGAGTACACAAGGTTGAGGCGCTGATAAGCAATAATTATAAGCTAAAGTATGATGCTAGTGGTGATCAGAAAACATGATAACAATACTCTAGTTTATAATAAACTAATATGAATTTAATTGAAATATAATATGATAAGGTTATTAAATTACTTAATTCAAAAAAATTTATATATGCATCAAAGAACCCAAGATATTTCATATATAAAATATATAATAAACAATCTTGAAGAAATAATTAGATTAAAACAATTATCTGAAGAAATTTATAATAAAATATATTTTACTCTACAATATATATATATATCAATTTACGATGAACGTATCATGAATTCCGCAGTGGAGTTTTTTATGTTCCTGAGTTAAAGAGCAATTTTCTTAGTATGGGTCAGCTGCATGAAAGAACTACAAAATTGTTATCTAAAAGGGTTATTGCACAATACAACATCTACAGAATGGAAGAATTTTTGAAGTTAAATGATATCCGATCGATTGTTGCCTTTACACAGTAATGACCAAGCATGCTTGACAACAAAAATGGTGGACTCAATTTGGTTTTGGCATATGCGATATGGACACCTCAATTTTAATTGGCAGAGAACCTTGCAGCAATAGAATGTGGTTGGTGGTCTTCCCCAAATCGATGTTACAACCAAAGTTTGTCAAAGCTTTGTTGCTTGTAAACAACATCGTGGATCATTTCCAATATGGAAAGCATGGAGGACTAAGGAATTGTTGCAATTGATTCACTCAGACCTCTATTGTCCAATCAATACAGCCTCAAAGACCAATAAAAGGTATTTTATATCTTTTACTGATTACTATAGCAGGAAGACGTGTGTTAAGTTTTTGCAACAACAAAAATGAGGCTTTTATCCCATTCAAGCAATTCAAGGTCTTTGCTAAAAATGAATCTTGGAAGAAAATCAAAATTCTTGGCACTGATTGTGGTGGTGAGTTCAATTCCAATGAGTTCACAGGATTTTGCGCTATGAATGTAATTTGGAGGGAATTGACATAAGTTATACACCACAACGACATGATGTGTGTGAGAGGAAGAATTGTACAATTTTTAACATGGTAAGAAGCATTTTGGCCACTTCAAGCATCCCAAAAAGCTTTTGGGAAGAGTCAATTAACTGGAGTGTTAAAGTATTGTGTAGGTGTACTATTTTTCAATGAAAAATATGATACCAGAAGCTTGGTACTCTCAAAAACCAAATGTTGATTTTTTTAGGATTTTTGGGTGTATAGTATATTCCCATATTCCTGATGAAAGCCGAAGGAAAACTTGATGACAAGGGAATCCTATGTATTTTCCTTGGAGTGAGCGAATAGTCAAAGGCTTACTAATTGTATAATCCACACACAAAGAAGACAATTGTAAGTCGTGATGTTATTTTTATGAAGCTGAATTATGGGATTGGAATAGTGCAAAAAAACAATCAACCTCAATAGAGGATGAGGAAGTAGAAACAATTATTGAAGTGACAAATCAGAAAGATGGATCAAAAGTGCAGCAACATTTATCCGATGATGTGAGAAACGACCAAAATGGAAGGACCTCAAGTGAAGAACATCCATCAAGAATGACAACTGAACGAAATAAACATCAAATAAGGAGGCCACATTGGATAATTGATTATGTAAGTGGAGATGAGCTTTCTGATGATGATAATACTGCCAATCTTATTTTATTTGCAGATTGTGATCCCATTGCATATGAAGATGCAGAAAAAGACTTAAAATGGCAGAAAGCTATGGATATAGAAATTGAATCAATCAAAAGGAATAATACTTGGGAGCTGACTGATCTTCCACAAGGCTAGAATACCTTTGGCCTAAAGTGGGTTTACAAAACCAAGCTAAATGAAAAGGGTGAGCTTGACAAGTACAAAGCATTACTGGCAGCGAAGGGATACACTCAGAAGTTTGGCATTGATTATGGTGATCTGTTTGCTCCGTTCGCTAGGCTCCATATTGTTCGACTGATAATAGCTATGGCTGCACAAAATTCTTGGCCAATTTATCAATTGGATATAAAGCCGACATTCTTCATGGTAATTTACATGTACGTGTATATATTGATCATCCTCCTGGATATGTAATGCAAGGCAGTGAAGCAAAGGCATACAAACTGAAAAAAGCTTTATATTGGTTGAAACAAGCACCTCGATCTTGGTACACTTGTATATAGGCTTATTTTGAAAAGGCAGGATTTTATAGATGTCCATATAAGCATTCTATTTTCAATAAATTTAGTACCTCATCAAAATTTTTGATTGTTTGCCTAAATGTAATTGATTTGATCTACACAGGAAATGAAAAAAGTATGATGGGTAATTTTAAACAATCTTTGATATCAGAATATGAGATGTACGATCTAGGTATGATGTGCCATTTTCTAGGCATTCAAGTAGTACAATCTGCTTCATGAATTTTTATCATGCAAAATAAGTATGCTCTAGAGATCTTGGACAAATTTCAGATGAGTAGTTGTAAAAAGGCCAGTACTTCAGCTGATTCAGGATTAAAGTTGGCAGTGGATCTTGAAGGCAAGGTTGGGAACTTACTATATTAAACTGCTACTAGACTAGACAAAGCATATTTTGTGAGTTTAGTTAGCAGATTTATGGGATGTTCAACCGATTTTCATCTTGCTCCTGCAAAAAGAATTTTGCGTTACATAAAAGGTTCCACTGATTATGGTATTTTTTATAAGAATGAAGGAAAATCTGCTCTTGTTGGTTACAGTGACAGTGATTATGCAGGAGATTTAGATGACAGAAGAAGTACTTATATGTATGCTTTATGTTAAGTACAGGGGATGTATCATGGTCATCAAAGAAGGAACAAATTGTTACTTTGTCAACAACTGAATCAGAGTACATTGCTTCAGCATCAGGGGCGTGTCATGTTATTTGGTTGAAGCGAATACCTGAAATGTTACATCAGCTTCACCAAGAACCAACAATGAGTTACTGTGACAATAGTTATACAATCGAGCTCTGCAAGAATCCGATATTACATGGGAAAAATAAACATATCGATGTGCGCTATCATTTTCTTTGAGATCTTGTAAATAAAAAAGTCATAGATTTGGTATTTTGCAGAAGTGAATATCAGGTTGCACATTTACTAACTAAGCATCTTAAGTTGGGTCCATTTATGAAGCTGCACGAATTACTTGGTGTTTAGTTAGAGAATGATTGTAAAATAATGCTATGAATAACATCTGGTTTAAGAGAGGCTGTTGAGTGTTTTAATTTAGCAAAATAAAAGAATTGGTTTTTAGTGGACCTTTTCTTCAGGAAGATATTATTGTTACTGATTTTAAGAGTTCATTAGTTGTAGATATGTTTAGTTCCTTATTTTTAGGAATAAGTTTTATATGTAATGTTTATTTATATGGAGAGTCTCTGATCAACAAGAACATCTGTATTTCTAATTACTGTTTACTCAACTCAACAAGTTTTTAATCTCTTTTCATTTTTTAAAATAGTTGAGTTATTCAAAGTTCAAGATATATTTTTGAAATATTTTTTCATATTTCCCTTTTCCTTATTGAAATTCTATATTTTCTAGGAGATTATTTCACTACTTACGAAGTTATATTTCTAATTTCAAAAACAATAATAGTGGAAATATGACTTATATTATGATTTTAATATTTTATTAATAGGTGCGCATTGCCTACAAAATTACACTTCTTAGGGAATATTGGGAGTATCATAAAAATATTAAAGAGTAATATTGTGTTTCATAATCATACAACTATTTTTGCTTACTGCTTTTGCTTTACTACTTAAGATGGTGCTTTCACTATATATGCATTCTTTCATTAGTTAGATTGAGATTAGACTCTATAATCCAAGCTTATAGTAATATAACTAATCTTAGGCTATGTGAATGTTTAACCACTAATCCTAAGTAAGTTATTTTTGTTTTAACTTCAATGATATGTGCATGAAATTTTTAAAGCAATTCTGAAATACCATAAAGGAAGGAAAGGTTGTCAATTACAAAACATATTTCTTTCGATATTTTTTGTTATTCTTGACATGATTAAGATGCTTCATTATAAATTTTTGTTTGTTGATCAATGTCATCCAAGACTTTATAACACATTTGAATCTCAATAGAGCTTGTTGACGATTTCCATAGTTATTTCTTCTTTCATGTGAATTCCCATAGAAACATCAACATCCATCTAAGTTATTTATTCTTAAGGCTTCACAATTTTCATCCCTATAATTTAAAAATTTTCTTACATAGAGGTGGATCCCGAATCTTGAGTTTATGGATTTAGATTCTAGAAAAGGTTACATTTTCAAAACCCAACAAGTTACATTTTTAGAATTTCGTATCCACAAACTCAAAATTCTGGATTCACCTCTACGTAAGCGAAAAGAGCTGTGAAGAATTCAGATGAAACAAGTCATAACTAAGATGGATGTTGATCTACCTACGGGAATTAACAACGAAGAATAAATAATTAAGGAAATCAGCAATAGACTCTCTTTAGATCCAAATGTGTTATAAATGAAACTTTCTTTGGGATGAAACATCCCAATCATGCAAAAAATAATAAAATTCCAAAAAAAAAATTACCTTCTTAAGAACAACCTTTATTTCCAATATGGTCTTTCATTGAAATATCATAGTTTACTAATGAATTTAATGTGCACATGTCAGCACAATTTACATAATCATAAAATTTGCAGTATAAATATTTTTTAGAAATAAAGGTACAACCTCTGCTAACCTTAATTATATATGGGTCAAGTAAATTTATTTTAAAGTAGGCTTTCTTAGGTGAAATTTATGGGCCAAAAAACAATTTCCTCTTAATAATGTTATATCTAGGTTTAAGATTATCTCATTTTTGGAGTTGTTTTTGTTGCATGAATACAACATAGAATAATGTTAATCATATCTTTGTAGATAGTGACTTATAGAAAAAGAAACTTACTCTAAATCTTCTTGCTTCTTAAATTTAAATAATCCTCTACTCAAAATAGCAAAAAATAACAAATGATTGAGGTAGTAATATTGTAATTTGTGAATATATATGATAATAATAATAACGCCTTTAATTACAACAACTAGGTTTTTCTTTTTCTTTTGATTTCTCATCCAATGTTCAATATTCGTATTAGAGAATCTTAATAGCTTAATTGGTTGGGTATATAAATTTTCATCGAGTGTAGATTAATCTCCCACCACCACTCACGAAAGTCCATGAGCTAATCTAGAGCCTCATATAATGAACTAAGACATGAAACACTGTTTATAGGCCTTAAATAATGAATTTTATAAATCTAGGAGATTCTAGAGTCAAAACATCAAGGAACGTCCATGATGGCCGGAGACTAGTGAAATAGAGGTTACTGTGCCTTGACGTATTTCATGGGGTTTTAAGAGTCGGAAATTAATAAACCTTTGTACAAAAGTGTTAAATAAGTATTATAGTGTGTTTTGAGTCAAAATCTTCGGGTACAACTCCCTAAGGACTACTCTAGTTGTCCATGAAGAGGACCCTTGCATTTAACTCAAATCTGCAATTTTGGATAGTCGGCATGGACAAGCCAAGTGACGAGTCGTCGATTGATCAATTCTCTCTCGATTGATCCATCATTCAAAACTCATACACATTTCCAAAAGGTTCCAAAAGACTCCTTTATGAACTAATCGATGCCTTTCCAGTAAGGTGGCGTGGATGGATCTATATTCTGTAGGTCGGGGAGTCGCGATGGGGTTTTTTTTTGTTGCCTAATTATTAAGTTGAGGGAATTAATTAATTGGTTGGTTATTAAATTAATTAAGGGTTAAGGATTGTCTAATTAAGTTATTTAAGGGGCTAATAAGACATAAACCTAATTAATCTAACCCAACACCCCTCAATTCCCAAACTCAAATCTCTATGCCTTCTTTCTACTTTCTCTCTCTTTTTCCAAAGAACGCCATTGAAGACAATGTTCAAGGTCATTAGGGCTTCCACATTTCAAATTTCTCTCTGTCAATTTTCAAGGATTTTTCATGTACGGAAGTTCATCACTCTTGGGACTTCTTTCCCCAAGAGGTTCTTCAATATTTATTTCCAAATATTGATAAAAACATGGATTTCCTTCTTAATCCGAAATTGATCTTTCAAATTTTATTATTTTGTGTTTATTTTGATTATTATTAATATATTATGATATATCATTGGTTAATTAAGGTAACTCTTGATTTAGACCTAGTTATATAGAAGAAATTATGAATCGACCCTATTCCCTAACCCTAGGTTATTAATTTATGTTGAATTGGTTAGTTATGATACATTTACTTAGTTCTTATGTTAATTACTATTGTATGATTTTGTTAAGTTGATTGATGGATGAATATGTTTTCTTGATTGTAAGACCCTTGAGGAAGTCTGTTAAAGGTGAATTAGTAAGACTTTATGATTTTGAATCCTTACTTCAATTGTGATGGCTTATACATGACGATGACTTTTAGTTGAAGTATTACATGTGATTAAATTAAGTAGGTGCTGGTATGTAATGGAATTGAAATTCCTTGACTATGAATTGTGAGATTATGAGTAATGTATGATGATGTAAGGTTGATTGTGACTCACTTATGTGCCTTACTATGAGATGATGATGATAATGAGCTAATCTCACATATGATTTTTGTAACGAAAGAAAGTTATCATGCAATACCTAATGAGCTAATGATATGATATACAAGAGGTTAATCTCCTATGGCCTATACTAAGTTATATTGTTTAAGAATGTCTTAAAGACATTTCAAAAAGGGACTTTAGCTTAGCACTGAGTGAACTAGTCATGAGAGGTGTCCCTTCAAAACTTTGAAGGTAGTTTCACAATGGTTCTCTTGATATGGAGATTACAATGCAATTGTTCATAAAGAGGGTCACAAGAAAGTCTCCTAGTTCTTGAACTATGTTGCCCCCATAGGAATACTAGCGACTGAATCCACCTACAAAGCTGTGTTCATGTTTCGGTACTACCTTGACAAGCATACCACCTTTTTTAAATGTAGGGTTTCAAGACACCGGATTCAATGTTTAGATCACATGGTGTATGTTGTATAAGGCAATTGTTCCTAAAAGTAAAATGAAGTAATAAAGTGAACACTAACTAGGGTGACTTAAGGGGTTTGACTTAGTGTATGTAGGGGTATGGGCTCTACCTATACATTGAACTAGTTGTCCTTGAGGGAAGTCCTAGGAGGTTGTTCTTATGGTCGTCTAAAGTAAATAATATGCATATGTTGACTTTAAATGTTGATGATCCTATATGATGTTAATTTTTTATATGAACATGTTATTGGTATATATTTCTA